ATTGTAGCCTCCACTTCTTTAATCCCTAAATGAACCGTATGACCACATGCAAACATAGATATCTATAAAATTATTTGTCTATCTGTCTATCTATTTATCAGTCTATCTGTCTATCTGTCTATCTGTTTATCTGTCTATCTGTCTATCTTTCTATCTGGCTATCTGTCTATCTGTATATCTATATATCTGTATATTTGCCTATCTACCTATCTATTTGTCTATCTGTTTATATCTATCTATCTACCTATCTATCTGTCCAACTGTTTATATCTATCTATCTATCTATCAGTATATGATAATGTTTCTGATCTAATTCATCTTTTGTTAAATACTTTCTAATTTCTTTACGTTCCATAATCCTAAACTTCCTCCTTTCACTTTCTTTATTTTTTCCTATCTTTCCTTTCATTTTCTTCATTTTTTCCTTACTTCTCTTTCACATTTTTCATTTTTTCCTTTCTTCCCTGTCACTTTCTTCATTTTTTCCTTTCTTTCCTGTCACTTTCTTCATTTTTTTCTTCCCTTTTCCTTTCTCTGTTCACTTGTCTCTCCTATTTTCTTTCCCTTTATCTTATCGATTAATTAATTCCATTTCCTTTTTTATAAATATTCTTGCTTTCTTTCCTTTTTTTACGTAAAACTTACATAACAGAATATTTTCATTCATATTTTGTTCTCTCATTTTAAATCTTGAAAAGAGACATTATATGTTTAGATATTTCAAATACAGAGCCCAGCAAAAAAAGTGTAAAACAGCACAAAAAGGTTGACTTTTAATAATCAGGACCTCTAATTTATTCCCATCTCTAAATCTGGTTTAATCTTTATTCTTTCTTCTCCTTATTCTTATTTTTTTCAGTTTTGCCTTTTCTTCATTCAAATAATAATTTCTAATTTCAGAAATGGTTTTCATAAAATGTCGACAATGACGATTAGGAAGCTGCAGCGACGTAAACGAAAATGAAGAATCGTTGAAAAATGAAAACTTGAACAAATCCTAAATGTCTTCCAGTTAGTAAAACACAGTTCCAAGATGGGGCAGTGTCTTTTAATAACCCTAATAATCCTACCCCACCTTTCAGGAGGTTTAGGGGCTCCTTCAGGGACCCCAATACAGGGAATAGGGGTCCCTACTGTAGACAATAAAGGGGCCTTTTGTGATAAAGATATTCAAAGAAAATACTGTGATGCATGGTAAGAAAGAAAAGAAATATTTTAATTTTGTAAAAATCTACGAACATTTTTATTTAGGTATGGCGGGGATTACCATTCCGCCTGCCAGTTCTGCGGGGTTGGAGGCCAATGCCCTAGCGGTCAAATAGAGGCCAGGGGTATACCTCCAGATTTCAGGTATACAAAACTTCATATGGAGGACGGGGTTGAGAACGTTAAAGGGACTGTAGACGTAATTTCAAGTTATCCTTTACAGTCCCTTTAAATTTAAGCTTTTGTCTGCACTGTAGTTGTGTTCTTTTTCAACTTGTACATTTTTGTAAGCATACATTAGGAGAACCGTTGTTCGTAAAATTCAATAAAAATTAAACTTTTGTAAACAATTTTGAACATTCATGTATCAAACCTGCTTTCTAGTTGAATCTCCTGAAGTTTTGAGCAGTCAAATCTAATATTACGAATGATTCAAATAAAATATTAGATATTTTTTTAGAAATGAAATCTTGTCTCGGCATAATCATTACAGATTAGACGCGAGTAGAGCGAGTAGTACAGTTCCTAATAAACAGGTAATTTGTTGCGGCATTCTGCTGTACATTGCTAAATGTCGTCTTTTTGGTTATTGTTAAAAGAATTTACAGTTTGTGAATAGTTTAGAATGTCTTTATCCATAATTTGTTATGATGTGTGGTACCTAAGACAAAATAAAAATATTAAGTAATTGGAGTCAGATTATGGTAAAGTTTATTTCAAGTGAAAATATACTTGAGCAAAGGGATTTTTCAAGGAAATAAACTGCAAAACGCCTTTAATATTTAATACAGTATATGGAAGGCGACATTCATACCTATTTATCAACTGTCATGTTTCGTGGGATACCCTGTATAATAATTTTTATAAACTGTTTTAAATCTATTAATTAATTCTTAATTTTATTCTAAACCTATCTTTTATGTTCATTGTCTATATTTTCAAAATATTCGCAAGAATTTGTTTGATAACACATAATTTAAAATGTTGAACATAAAGATGTAAAGTTTTTGTTGGAATTTTAAGTTTAGAACCTTTGGCCAAATATTAATTGATCAGCCTAAGGGCATACTTTTGCAAAGAGAAAATGTTTAAAAAATTTGCATTTACTCCCCCCTCTTTTTCCATTCTCCCCCTCATAGTTTCATGGGTTTATTACATATAACCCCCCCCCCCTACCGATCTCGTTTATCGTTTCATCTTCTAGATTAATTTGTCAGCAGAATCGTTCTAGAATCCACGAAAAATTTATCAATCTGACAAATCTCAATATTTCAATAGGACAAATACGTGATCCCAAACCCCCCCACCCCCCATTCCGACCCATAAGATTTTTGGGTCAATTCTTGATCTTTCCATTAGAAAACCACGAATGATGAAAATTATAAAAATAATAATAAATATTTTCATAATATTTCCTATATTTCAGCGTGCTTGTCTTCCACCGCTAGAATGGGACACAGAACTAGCGGAAACAGCTCAGGTAAGTGGAAATTTACAAAAGATTTTTTTTCTTCAAAAATCTTGATTTTTTTCTTGTTTCTCAGGTTTGGGCTGATCAGTGTGCCATGATAGTTTATAAAGATGGAGTTTATCCCAAAATATTTCATGAAAAATCTTTCCAACGTTCAACTAGCAGGTATTTAATGATAGATAAAAAATAATAATAATAATAATAATAATAATAATATTAATAATAACTATAATAATAAGAAAAATAGTAATAATGATAATAATAATAATAATCATAACTATGATGATAATATTAATCAAAATAACAAAACTGATAACACTAAAAACAACAATAACGATAATAAATGGATATAAAGAATTCAGTTTGTTCATATATTGTACATTTATAAATTTAAGTTTGATCTTTATGTCTTTTTATCAAATAGATATAGGTCGTAACTAAAATATAACTTTTTGTGGATAAATCTGAAATGGATGAATTAAATATTCATCAGGGGCATCCTCTAGGTACTAATATTCTTCCTAAATATACCCCCCTTGTCCTTAGGTTTAATTCTGCCCCAGGAGTAGGACAGAACATAGCCTGGGCCCTCACACAGGAGTTAAACCTTACTCAGATCATTGATGATCTCTGGTATAAAGATATCAGGTAAAATATTAAAAAAAATTTAACAATTTATTTTTTATCATTTTTTTCAAAATATAAGTCATCATTTCATCCTTCTCATCTTAAAATCACTTGTCAAGTTGTCACATATTGTGAGAATAAACAAAATGGAATATTTAACTTCTTTAAAATACGTATTTTTTATAAACAATCTAATTTCTATATCTTTCCGACCTTTGATAGATTATTTGATATAACAGAGTTAATACTTAGAAATATTTAAGATCTACAACATTGGGTTGCGAAGATTTACGTGAACTTTTTAGTATGTTTAGTATGTTGCGTATTTGAGACAAATTTTAGAAAAAAAAACTGAATAAATTTTTATCAATAATCTTTTTTATCTTAATCGTCAATAAGTTCGAAGCAAAGAATTATGAAAATTATGTAATTTTTTCCTGATTTATTCAATTTTATTTCTTCTTTTGATCAAAATAATATTAATTCTGAATGTGTATGCACTTAATATTAGATAAACTTGATTTTAGTTCAGTATTGAATTTTATGGTTTGTATTGATTACGAATTAATGAAATATGTAAAAGTATAATATATTCTCAAATAATTCAAGTTTCAGAATATAATCTTCTGTATCGCATGCTTGACAACATTTATTTAAATTTTAATATATTTATCAAATTTTTAAGTCTTATCTTAAGTGCTTACAATACATCATGCAAGGATTTCAAATATAACAATTATTAAAAATGTTAAGTTTTTTGATATTCATATCATACATTCATATTTATGAATATTGGATATTTGTTAACTATCAACTATCGCCATTTTTAATGAATTTTTGTGAATTATTGTGAATTATCTTACTATTTTCTGATTTATTCAAAAACCATCCTCAACAATTTTTCCGGAAAACTTTTCGATTTTGTTTGTTCATTTGTGTCTTCTGTGTATATATATTTATATCAATTTATTATTCAATCAAAAAACAGATAAACATCCTCATATATATATGTACATTGTGTTATACTTTCAATTAAACGCTTATTTTAAAAGAATAGCCTTTGTAGTCTTGAACAAATTTTTGTTGTTTGTAGTAAGTTGACCCCTGAACAGCTGGAGGATTTCCAGCCGGGTCAACTTGACCCTGACTCTCTTCTTGTTACGCAGATGCTCTGGGGACAAACTACGCACATAGGTAACATTAGCCATTGACGCATTATGACGTACTGAGATATGAACAAAACTGAAAGTTATATATCAAATACATATTTGTAGCCCTAGACATATGCATTTAAAAAAAGGATTGCGTTTGTTTCTAGGTGAGTTGAATAGGAGTAATTGAGAAAATACTGCTCGATTTTTGCGTGAGAGTTTACACATCTTGGTTTACAGTGCAGCCAAGAACTCCTTTAAAACTGAAGCTAGAAACAAGCTTGTTTAAGCCTAGAAATCTTCATATTTAAAGTTTTAAGTCGGTTCTATCTCATTAGTTGATGAATAATTGTTAAAGCTGTTCAGATTGATATCAAACATCAAATTTTCCTCTAAATTAAAGGACCATGAATTTATATAAACCTCATTTAAAAGGAGTGTTCACGAAGAATAAAAGGGGGTATAGGCTTACGGCGAAAAAAGGGACTGTCTTTATAATTTCAAGTAACCATTCTTTTAAAAAAGGGGCATGCCCGATTCCCAACGGTAACCTTTCAACCTTTATCTGAAAATCAATTACGCAGAGATATCACAACTGTAAATGATCAACTTCCAGATAGAAAAACATGAATATCTTTATCATTCTTGATCAGACTAAAGTTTACAGGGTACAGCTTTGAATTAGGCAACTCCATCTTTGAATGGAGGGTTACTTACAATTATATCGTACTCGTCCCTTGAGTATTTTAAAAGCATAATTAGATATTATTATTTAACATGAATTCAAATATTTCTAAAATTACTCTGTTGAATTTCATGAATTTGTGAATCTTGGAGTATAAATATTGAATATTGAATATAAACGATATTTTGATAAAATTACAGAGTTTAAATATAATTGTTGCAGGGTGTGGCTGGCTGCAGATTGAAGTTACAGAAAACAGGTAAATAAATAGCAGCTAAATTTGGCACACCCAATATACTATTGTTCGCCATTATTCTTAAATCTATACAAACAAATTTTATTTGAAAAAATATTTAAAAGATGAATTCACATTAATACACAAAGATGATACGAAGAATGAATTCTTTATTTATTTATTCGAACTTTTAAATGTAAGTGATCGACATGAAATTGCATGTACATGGTACATAAACATACATCGTCAGAATAAAAATGGAAGACGAATTTCAAGAAATAAGAAAAATTCCAAATGCATTTCTTTGATTTTTAAAATATACAATTCATATAGACAGGAAAATTCATAGAATTAATTAACAAAAAATATAGGAAAATTCACTTGTAGAGTTTTCTTAGATAATCCATTTCATAGACAAGACATTTTTAACAATTTCAAAACCTTTTTATTAGGCTAGCAGACAACTTTATTATATGTCTCGGAAAACCCTGTTCTCTCTGATTTATAAAATGTCCTGTCTATGAAATCTAAAATCTCTAAAATTTCCCATCTATGAAATAAAAAACAAAATATGACAATATTCCATCTTCTAAAAGTTCGATGTGGATTTGAAATGTCTATCCACTATTACAATGGAATGTCTATCCACTATTACAATGAAATGTCTATTCACTATTACAATGAAATGTCTATCCACTCTTACAATGAAATGTCTCTTCAGTATTACAATGAAATTTCTGTTCACTATTACAATGAAATGTCTATCCACTATTACAATGAAATGTCTATCCACTATTACAATGATGTTTATTCACTATTGCAATGAAATGTCTATTCACTATTACAATGAAATGTCTATCCACTATTACAATGAAATGTTTATTCACTATTGCAATGAAATGTCTATTCACTATAACAATGAAATGTCTATTCACTATTGCGATGAAATGTCTATTTACTATTACAATGAAATGTCTATTCACTATTACAATGAAATGTCTATTCACTATTACAATGAAATGTCTATTCAGTATTACAATGAAATGTCTATTCACTATTACAATGAAATGTCTATTCAATATTGCAATGAAATGTCTATTCACAATTACAATGAAATGTTTATCCACTATTACAGTGAAATGTCTATTCACAATTACAATGAAATGTCTATCCACTATTACAATGAAATGTCTATCCACTATTACAATGAAATGTCTATCCACTATTACAATGAAATGTTTATTCACTATTGCAATGAAATGTCTATTCACTATAACAATGAAATGTCTCTTCACTATTGCGATGAAATGTCTATTTACTATTACAATGAAATGTCTATTCACTATTACAATGAAATGTCTATTCACTATTGCAATGAAATGTCTATTCACAATTACAATGAAATGTCTATTCACTATTACATTGATGGAATGACGAATTCGAAAAAAACGAATATTTTGTTCAAAATTATTAACATAATGTTAAAGTGATATTTTCCAAATTTTTATAAATTTCTGCAATTTCGAAAAAAACGTTCATAATTTCGATATGCCATGTTTATTTGTTGCCCAGGTATGCTGATGTGTATGCCATGTTTATTTGTTGCCCAGGTATGCTGATGTGTATGACGGGAGATATGAGAATATATTCGTCTGTAACTACGGTATTGGAGGCAATGTTGTCGGTCAACCCGTATTCGAACACAATGATTGTTTAACAGGTAAATAGGGAAAGGTGTTAAAGGGATAAATTTATAAATATTTTCTTTCGAATCTTTTAAACCCTTAACAAAAACAACTGTTTAAAATTGATTATTGCCTTTACTGTCAGCCGAAAATACACAACTTTTCGTAATTTTGATGTAAAAAATATTGTATTTTTAGAACTGCCGACATATACTCCTTCTCCTCCTTCTCCTATTCTGAAATCCGGAGAACAAGCTAGTCCAGGTAGGCTTTAGAGCCCAGGTTCATGTCCGTCTAATGCTTCGTTCATGTCGATTTCATGCATCTTTCATGTGCATTTCATGCGTCTTTCATGTCAATTTCATGCATCTTTCATGTCGATTTCATGCATCTTTCATGTGCATTTCATGCGTCTTTCATGTCAATTTCATGCGTCTTTCATGTCAATTTCATGCATTTATCATGTCAATTTCATGCATCTTTATGTTAATTTCATGCATCTTTCATGTCAATTTCATGCATTTTTCATGTCAATTTCATGCATCTTTATGTCAATTTCATGCATCTTTCATGTCAATTTCATGCATTTTTCATGTCAATTTCATGCATCTTTATGTCAATTTCATGCATGCTTTATGTTATTTTCAGTGATATCATATCTACAGTGATAACCATAAAACTCTGGAATAGTCTGGAATAGTTAAACTCAGTTATGACTTTAAATAGTCCAATCAACTTGAGGCACACAAATTGAGCTGTGTAAACAGACCCATTCACTCAATAAGTAATTTGATAATAGTAATTTACTAGTAAAGCTATTTGTTTTGTAACAACATCAAATACAATTCAGTATGGCTGAAATGTCGTCTTACTATTTTACTGTTTTCTGGTTATCACTGTATTTTATTTAGTGCTGGTTTAATGTCAGTATTATGCCATATTAAATTCTGTTTTTGATTTTTCTTTCTCGCGTTTGCCACAAATTTGCATTGTCCTCCCTTTTTCTTAATAAAAAAAAAAAAGGACTTTATGGCACCATGGTAAAAATCTTTTTCGCTACACTTTTCATTTGGTGACAATTTTTTCATGTCTCGTTATCTCGTACATATATTTTTATTGTCTTTTTGCGACCGGTAAATAATGCATATTTGAATATATAAGTAATAAGTATACACTTGATCCATGCGTATTGCGTCCCTAACTGTCTGAGAGGATGGGCGTAAAAGAACCTAAAAAAAACTTGAATATTCATGTTTTTTTGACACTTTTTGTTACCGGGAGAGAAAACCTAAAACGCCTGAAGGAGAAGATACTAAAGTATATATTCAAATATCATGACACTAGACATTGTTGACATTTACATAGAAAACCAGACATGCAGAAATGTAGACATTTACATAGACAACCAGACATGCAGAAATGTAGACATTTACATAGACAACCAGACATGCAGAAATGTAGACATTCAAACATGCAGAATGTAGAAATGAAGGCACGATACAGACTGAATCATAGATAAATTTATGAACAGGCAGATACAAATAGCCTTCATTAAAGATAAAAAACAGATAATTATAAAAACAGATAACAGGTAAACAGATAACAGATAAACAGATAAATAGATTTACAGATAAACAAATCTATAGATTTACAGATAAACAGATTTACAGATAAACAGATACACAGATACACAGATACACAGATATACAGATATACAGATACACAGATACACAGATATACAGATATACAATATAAACAGATTTACAGATTTTCAGATAAACAAATTTACAGATAACCATATTTACAGATAAAATAATTTAAAAATAAACAGATTTAAAGATAAACAGATAATCAAATAAAAAAGATAAAAATATTAACAGATAAACTTCAGATTTTATCGGGCCATTGTTTCATTGTGAAAACTGAAGAGGTATCAAAGGTTAGGGGGGTCAATCTTTAAAGAATTAGGAAAACTCAGAAAAGACAAATTTAATAGATGTAAGGTGTGGCGGATAGAATTTGTGTACATTGTTTCGTATTTGGACTGCTCAGGAACTGGATGAAAGTAAACAATACTTTCTACCTTCCCCAAGAGAATTTAGAACTTTGTTTACAATATATTTGTTTCAATTAAACTAGCCTCTCCCGGCCATATTACTTCACATTAAATGTGTTTAAGAACCCTATCCCCCTAACCTTTAGTAAACTTATATTGGGGTATGGGTAAGCAGGAACAGTACAAAAGGCAGATTCTTACTTTTGTCAAAATAATTTTATAAACGAGTAAGAGATTGAGGGACTGCAGGGGAGAGCTGGGGAGAAGGTGTAAGAGAGAAGATTGAAGAGTGTCAAAGTTCAGATCTAAAATTATACACAGTGTCTACACTGTCTAGTATAATAGACAAACAACGGGTACCATAACTTGGCTTTCTCAGTATTATTTAGTTGTTTTTATTCCTACCACACAGGCGGAGTGTTTTCATTCATACCACACAGACGGAGTGTTTTCATTCATACCACACAGACAGAGTGTTTTCATTCATACCGAACAGACAAGGTGTTTTCATTCATACCACACAGACGGTTTTTTCCTTCATACCACACGGACGAAGTGTTTTCATTCATACCACACAGGCGGAGTGTTTTCCTTCAAATCAAAGTAAACAAAACCTGTATTTAGTTGACCGGAGCCGCCTAGCGAGCTGCCTAGACGCTATTCTCTGCCTGGAGGCTCCAAAGCTCTTGTCGGAGATTTCAACGGAGATTATGACGGTCGAAGTTAATCCAGAGACTGAAGAAAGTTGCCGAAAATATGCAGATCTTTGCTTTTATCCTTTAAATACTCCATCAGGTTAGATGAACACTTGAGTTCTGCACAGCTAGGGTGATCTTGAACTAAACTAAACACTGTGTCGATTTTTCACAATTATTTGTTGTTTTATGTTACGTTAAAATTATTTTGTTTCTAAGACTTATATATAAACTTGTCTTTCAAAATTTTCCTAATTTTTATTTTTAATTTTTTCATTAGCAATGTGATTAATAGCTTTGTTTAGTCCAGGCTTTCGTAGATGTTTTATTCAGGGTTTAGTAGATATGTGTTTGTGTTTTATTCAGGGTTTAGTAGATATGTGTTTGTTATTTTGTGTTTTATTCAGGGTTTAGTAGATATGTGTTTGATATTTTGTGTTTTATTCAGGGTTTAGTAGATATGTGTTTGATATGTTGTGTTTTATTCAGGGTTTAGTAGATATGTGTTTGATATTTGTGTTTTATTCAGTGTTTAGTAGATATGTGTTTGATATGTTGTGTTTTATTCAGGGTTTAGTAGATATGTGTTTGATATTTGTGTTTTATTCAGTGTTTAGTAGATGTGTGTTTGATATGTTGTGTTTTATTCAGGGTTTAGTAGATATGGGTTTGATATTTTGTGTTTTATTCAGGGTTTCGAAGATATGTGTTTGATATTTTGTGTTTTATTCAGGGTTTAGTAGATATGTGTTTGATATGTTGTGTTTTATTCAGGGTTTAGTAGATATGTGTTTGATATTTGTGTTTTATTCAGTGTTTAGTAGATGTGTGTTTGATATGTTGTGTTTTATTCACGGTTTAGTAGAAATGTGTTTTATACTTTGTGCTTTATTCAGGGTTCAGTAGAAGTGTGTTTGAATGTCGGATTGAGAGTATATTGTGTTCTCAAAACACCACCTGGGGAGATTGTAACACCAATCTTCAGGTAAATAAAGAAAAAAAAACTAAATTCGACTCTTTATCTTAAAAGGTGATTGTTAACAAAATATGAAGGGATCAAGTGATATCATGTCTCACAATATGAAAAACAATGACGTCTTTGAACTGAAACGGGATGAATTTTCTTGACCTGGAGGATTCAACACGTTTTTTTCGAGAAAAAAAACGATAGATAGAAAACTGAAAATATCTTATTTTATAATATTAAAATTTCTCTAGATAACGTTGGGAATCATTTCTCATTGGCTGTGTCCTGTCTAATTAAACTGAAATATAAAGTTTTAATTATAATCATGATTTTCTGTAATATAAGAATTTGGCTCTTTATGCAAAGCACTCTAAAAAGATCTAAGAGAGCTTTGCAAAAAACTAGAAATTCGTGTGAGACAACAAAATGGAAATTTAAAAATGTTCTTGCATGATACTGAGACACCTTGACAGGGTATGCAGCGTCTTTCAGATTCTTTATTATATTTCTAAACTGTACATTTTTCATTACCCTCCCCCCCTCCCCCAACCTGTCCCCCTGTTCTCCCACTACCACATACTATCGCATAACAACTATCCTACCATCTTCTACCAAGCAATAAACATGACATTGACCCAACCCAACTCACATAATCTAAAATACTTCCCTCAGGCCTCATAACCCTACCGGGGTTCTATTTTAAAGCAATAAATTACATTTGATTTGTTTGCAACCTAAACCCCAATCTGAATGTCCATGGAAACACGTTTTTATTAGTTGTTATGCTTTCATGGATATCATCTATCCACTGTCCAGGCTCAACCTAGTAAGTCTAGTCGAAAGTCTGACTTTGATTAAACCTTTCGTGATAAAAGTGAAAAACAACAATATGCATAGGAATACAAATATGGTTATGCATCAAATTCTTATTCCAGGATTGCATTCAAGCCTCTGAGAAAACTGTCGAGGGTTCAACAAAACCAACAGGTCAGCTCATCTTTATACAGGAGGGGTGTTAAATGTTGATCTTATTGTGCATGTCTTTCCAAGATTCATAAAAGACTTTCATTTACCTTTTCTCTTTGTTTCTTTTTTCTCTTTTTTTACTTTTTTTTTTTAATTAATTCTTTTTTATTTTCATGTTATTTACATTATTTATTCTCGAATACCACACCCATTAACTGAGTAAGCACCTTCTGTAGAGTTTTTCATTTCAAGTTTATCTTAGTAAATAATGGAGGTGTTTACATTTCACTTTAAAGCTCCGTTAAACCCATCCAGTAAGTAAATAAGATGACTTTTTGGTGCAAATGTTTAACCTGTTGAAAAATGCTGGTAGTGTCTACCTGGCTTTTAAACAAACACGCTTTTTGTTTATCTAGACAACTGTACAGTTGAATTATTATTCCGTTTGCAATTCTGCACCGCGGCAAAAATAATTATGTTGCGCATTTTGTCGGGGAAAGTTGATTGATGAATTTTCATCTGGTTGCAGGCTTGGAGTTTAGCGAGTTGGGCAGTGAAACATATACTCAAGAGGGGAGACAGACAACAACAGCTAGTTACCTTGTAACAGACAGGGTCACAGCTGTAACTGATAAAACTCTGTCAGGAAAAACATTCTTCATTTTTCAAGTTATCAATTATTTCTGAACTTAACTGATTTTAATTGGATTTAAGAAACATCACTAAATATTATGATTGAGTTTGAATGCTTTATTTCACTGCTTTCTTTTATTAACATGAAAATGAGTAACTTTTAGACCCTGTTCCCACAATTTCATCTTCAGCCTTTGAAGCTGTCTCTACCACGTTTAAATCTCCAGGCGTTGAAATAACCACAACAAATCCACTTTTTGCATCTAAAACTCAGCAAAATTCAGAAAGTTCAACAAACGGGTATGAAGTCACAACATGGGAATATTCCACGAGTGGCCTTGAGGCAACAAATTATGAAACTTCAATATCAGAAATTGCATCACCTGAAATTCCAACATCAGAATCTACATTGTCAGACACTTCATCAACAGACCCTCAATTCTTGGAAACAACTACAACAAAGTCCAATTCAGCTGAAGATGTACCATCAGACATTTCTCCCTTGGAAAACCCTGAACCTGAGATAACTACTATTTCCAGAGAACCATCTACCTCCAGAACTACTTCTATCTATGACACAGCTACTGAAACTGACAGTGTGACAAGAGCTCTGACTACTCCAAAAGTCAGTAACATATTAATTGATTCTAACAAAGATACTACCCATGACATTATCACTGGAAATGATAAAACTGAAGACGTATCAATAACAAGTCCAACTTATTCTTATGAATTTAATGATGATATCAGTACCTCTGTAAAATTGAAAACCCCCAGCTTAGATTTAGGTGACACTGTGTCTGAGGGATTTGATGAAGATACAACTACTTTTAATTCTGATGAACTTGATGGTTTTGATATCAGCAGCTCTGTATCATTGAAAATCCCAGTCATAGATTTAGCTGACACTGTATCTGAAGATTTTGACAAAGAGACAACTACAGATATGCCATCTAGTGTTGACTCCATTGAAGATATAAAACCTTTTATTACTGTCAAAGTTCCAGATATTGATATGGAAAACCTAACAACAGATTTGTCAAATGATGAAGAGTTGTATTTGGAAAATGTATCTACTGGCACTGAAACTGTTATTGGCACTGAAACTGTTACTGGCACTGAAACTGTTACTGGCACTGAAACTGTTACTGGCACTGAAATTATCACTATGATTCCAATAGAAGCTGAAACTGCTACTGCGAATACTTCGTACATCAATGATAACAATGATCCACTCAACTCTTCTGACTCTACTTTCCAATCTTTTGGGGATGACATCAGTAGTTTAGTAAATGTTAAGATTCCAGATATAATCTTGGATGATTCTGGAGAAGAGACTTTTGATGAGTTGGTGACTACTGTAAACTATCTCAATGATGAATCTGAGGTGGGTGTTAGGACTTTTGTTACAGCTAAAATACCAATTATGGACCTACAGGATATTACGATAGATTTAAACAAAGATCCTGGCTCCCAGACTTCTTATTCAGATTTGATATCCAACGTTTCATGGAACAATGAAACCACGGATGGAATTAAAAAGGAGGTACGCATAGAAGACTCCACCTATTCAATAAACACTCCTGATACTGATACAGTATCAGACATATCAATATCTTTACGCAATTCAACTGCTAAAGATGTAGAAGGAATGATTTCAGAAAATGAAGCAGACGGAGAAGTAAATTTTGACGGAGAATTGAATAAAAACGATCTTTCTGTGACAGAGAAGGTTGATCAGTTTAATAATGAGATAGAAGACGAATATGATGAATATTCTGAACCAAGTATGGAAACAAAGCCTGCATCCATCAGTCTTGACTTGTTAGATATTGATTCCAACAGCAGTACCAGTACCCTGCTCTACCCTACACAACTTCAGGCAATCAGATATTATTCACTTAAATAATTTTACAGCGGACCATAAACATTCTTCTATACAAGCCAAACTAGGCTTTAATTAAAGTTGTAAGCTTTACTGAAGATTCCATTCAGACCAATTGATGTACCCCCCCTGTGTTTTAAGACAACTCAGCTCAAAGACCAGACCACTGAAGTCGACCAGACCACTGAAGTCGACCAAACCACAGAATTCGACCATACCACTGAAGTCGACAAAACCTCAGAAGTCGACCAAATCCCTGAAGTCGACCAAACCACTGAAGTCAACCAAACCTCAGAAGTAGACCAGACCACTGAAGTCGACCAAACCACAGAATTCGACCAAACCACAGAAGTCGACCAAACCTCAGAAGTCAACAAAACCATAAAATTTAACACAACCACAGAAAACGACAATACCATAGAAGTCGACAGTACCACTGAAGTCGACAGTACCACTAAAGTCTTCCAGGCTACAGAAGTCGGCCAAACTACGAATGTCTACCAAACCCCAGAAGTCTCGCAAAATACGAATGCCGAACAAACCACAAAAGTCTACCCAACTTTGGGAGCAAACAGTTTAGAGAAGCCTAAAGAAGAAATCTCACACGTCAAGGAATATTAAATTTGACAAATCTCTGATCTCTGTTTTGATCTGTTCAACAATGATAAGAAAATTATTGAAATCTTCGCCCCACCTATTTTCTGAGAGATCGGGTCGTATTTTAATGTCTAAATTTTGGCGCTTAATGTCTAGAGGATAATTTTAAATTTTTGAATATTGAGCTGTCAAAGGTTTCAGGTTGAAACTTGAATATTTTCATAATTTATTTATTTTTTCAACAAGTTTTTAGGCCATGCCAGGCCTTGGAATTAGGTATTCATAATTTTCTGTTGCGTCTTTACGTCCTTCCGAGTTTCCAGTTCCGGGTACAGTTTACAATATAAAATATTCATGCTTGATGGCAACGTGAATATGACATACTAATTTTCCCATCCTTTTTAGATTTATCATCTTCCTAATATTTCCTTTCTTCCTAATATTTCCTTCCGTCCAAATCTTTCCTTCCTAATCTTTCCTCCCGTCCTAATTCTTCCTTACGTCCAAATCCGTCCTTCCTAATCCTTCCGTCCTAATCCTTCCTTCCTAATCTGTCCATTCCTGATTTCTCCTTATTTTTTTCCTAATCCTTCTGATCTTCCTCTCTTTCTTTCATTATCCCTTCCTTCCTTCCTTCCTTTTTTGTTCCCCTTCCTTCGTTCATTTCTTCTCATCCTTCCTGCTTAGTTTATCAATCCTATTTATATTCCTCTTTCCTCCCCGGCCCCTCTCCACCTCTTTTCTTATTTTTGTGACATACTTTCAGAAAGAAAATTTTGAAAGTGTCATTGTCGAAAGTTCTAGAACTCTTTCCGGATGTTTGTCCCTGGGTTTCATAAATAACAACTAAAGTAAATTCTTGAAATTTGTTTGTGAGATCTTTCAATTCATTCAAGATTCCTTCAGCATTTCTTACATTCATCCCCCCCCTTCGTCTCCCTCGTCTCCCTCCCCCTCCTCCCCCCAATTTTACTGATTTTAAACCGTCATGCATAGAGGTATTATGATCCTATAACACATTATATCAAAGGAATTGAGTTTTTGTCACAAACTCAAATTTTCTAATCTCTATATTTCTGTAACCGGATGATGTAAACCTTTAATATTTCAAACATAGATTATTTGATCTAACAGAATTCATAGTTTGAAATATTAAAGGTCTACAACTTAGGGATAAAAAGATATATTGATTAAAAATCAGAGTTTGTGGCAAAAACTCAATTCCTTTATTAAATTAAAAATCTAATAAGTGTGAATTATTTCATCAATATTTAATATAATATTTATCAGACTGAGAATAGTACTATTTGCAACAGCTCCATCTGCTTAGAGATAAGTCCTGATTTGGAGAGATTCATCCTTAATCTTTCCAACATATCTGCAGGTATTCATTATATTCATCCTTAATCTTTCCAACATATCTGCAGGTATTCATTATATTCATCCTTAATCTTTCTAACATATCTGCAGGCATTTATTATATTCATTCTTAATCTTTCCAACATATCTGCAGGTATTCATTATATCCATCCTTAATCTTTCCAACATATCTGCAGGTATTCCTTAATCTTTCCAACATATCTGCAGGTATTCATTATATTCATCCTTAATCTTTCTAACATATCTGCAGGCATTTATTATATTCATTCTTAATCTTTCCAACATATCTGCAGGTATTCATTATATCCATCCTTAATCTTTCCAACTTATCTGCAGGTATTCATTATATTCATTCTTAATCTTTCCAACATATATGTAGGTATTCATGATATTCATCCTTAATCTTTCCAACATATTTGCAGGTATTTATTATATTCATACTTAATCTTTCCAACCTATCTGCAGGTATTCATTATATTCATCCTTAATCTGTCCAACCTATCTGCAGGTCATTCATTATATTCATCTTTGATCTTTCCAACCTATCTGCAGGTATTCATTATATTCATCCTTAATCTTTCCAACCTATCTGCAGGTATTCATCATTTCAAAAGAACATTTTTGAAGTTTTGGTTATACATTTACACATACACACCCAATCCCGTCTCTCTCTGTCTTCTCTCTCTTTTCTCCCTTTTTTCTCCCTCTTTTTCTTCCTTTCTCTCCTTTTCTCTTTTTCTAGTTTTTTTTCTTTCTTTATAAAGTTAGTCGAGCTAGAAATCAATAATCCAGCTCTTTTTGTATTGTTAGTCGAGCTAGAAATCACGAATCCAGCTCTTTTTGTATCGTTAATCCAGCTAGAAATCACTAATCCAGCTCTTTTTGTATCGTTATTCCAGCTAGAAATCACTAATCCAGCTCTTTTTGTATCGTTAGTCCAGCTAGAAATCAATAATCCAGCTCTTTTTGTATTGTTAGTTCAGCTAGAAATCAATAATCCAACTCTTTTTGTATTGTTAGTCCAGCTAGAAATCAATAATCCAGCTCTTTTTGTATTAGTCCAGCTAGAAATCAATAATCCAGCTCTTTTTGTATTGTTAGTTCAGCTAGAAATCAATAATCCAACTCTTTTTGTATTGTTAGTCCAGCTAGAAATCAATAATCCAGCTCTTTTTGTATTGTTAGTCCAGCTAGAAATCAATAATTCAACTCTTTGTGGATCATTAGTCCAGCTAGAAATCACTAATCCATCTCTTTTTGGATCGCTTAGTTAAATTAATTTGTAGTGTATGCCACTAATGATGGTGGAGCTAATATATAAAATACTAGAAATTCAAGGCGCTTCGCGCCCTTCTTTCTAGCCTTAGAGGGCGCTTCGCGCCCATCTTCTAAATTAGTTGTAAACATGTTCTCTTTGTGTACATCGTAAAACTAAACAAAAATAATTCGCGGATTTTCACCAAAAATTTCGCGGATTTTCAAAATTTTAAAAAATTTAATGACGATCGAATTTTGATGGAGACAAATATTTGAAATTTTGATGATTCATAAACCTTCCCTGGGCTCCCTAGATGTCCCACAAAAAATTTGGGCCCGATCGGTTCAGTCGTTTTGACGTTTATTGGATACAAACAAACAAACAAACAAACAAACAGACAAGCCAAATTTATATATAGATATAGATATGTACGAATCGTTCTTTATTTGCGGATTAAAAACTTAATCAATTTATATCAAATGTTTCCTATGTGGATAATGAGCTTAGGCGTTGAAGATTAACGCTAATCCACATATAAGTTTCGACCTTAAAAAAATGATTGATATTTTGACATTTACGATAATTGTTGAAATTAACAATGTTTTAATATATTTTTTCCTAGACACTCAGCTCCTACTGAACGAAACATATAATCCAGAAAATATTGACAACGAGACATTAATTGTTTTCCAGGAAAGAGGGTGTTCGAAACATAAAAGCTTTGAAAAAATTTCATTAAAATGTAAATTTTTCGTTTAATCTTCAATAATTTTGAACACCCCCTGCGTTTCAGGATATATATTTGGATGGATCCGGCGGATTCAATGTTTCTACTTTATCAGATCAAGGTTCGAACCCAGAGCTGATTAATCAGCTAAATGAGGACACAATACTTGCTCTACTCAATTCCTTTATAGGTAAGGTCAATAATGCGTTCATTTATTAATTTATGCAATCATTTATGCATTCATTTATTCATTTTTTATGCATTTATTTGTGCATTTATGCATTTATTTATGCATTTATTTATGTATTTATTTATGCATTCATTTATGCATTTAATTATTCACGCTTTCTTTTAGAAATTTATTTATGCATTTATGCATTTATTTATGCAATTATGTATTGATTTATGCATTCATTTATCTATTCATTTATGCATTAATGCATTCATTTATCAATTTATTTATGCATTTATGCATTCATTTCTCTATTTACTTTGCATTTATGCGTTCAGTTATCGCTTATTCATTCATTTATTCATTTATTCATGCATTTTTGCATAATTTTTTCATCATAAAAAGTGTATTGTCAAAATTGAATCTAACTTAAAACGTATCAGTAAGTTAAAAGTAAATTTTCTTTATGGCAACCTGTAGAAATGTTTTCATTTCTATGCAATTTATTCATCTTCTCTCAATATATTCATAATTTCAAACGAAATCCTTTTCTGTATATTGCCTAAAACAGTTTAAATTAAGGCGGTGATTCAAGGGAGAAATGTGGAAATATATTTATGCGGGTATTTCGTGCATTTCGGAGAATTTTCAAGAAAGTATGTCAAATTTTATTCATCGATTTTTTCCACACATTTTTGAATATTTTGAGCTGTCGATAATGAGGTATATCTAGCACCCTTCCATCAGGATGAGAAATTAGTTGATTTCGTGCAACAATGTTTTCGGTCCCTTTTCTCTCATCCATCTCGTCCTTATCCTGTTTTTATACTCGTGTTATTTTGGGGTGCTCGGTAAAATCCACAATAAAACATAATTTGACACTCATCACGTTTAAATGCAGGAAACAATAAAACCGGATTGAACGAGTCTACGCGGATTTTTGGGATTTCCTTTGATGATTCTACGCAGCCGACTACGGCTGAGATATATTTTGATGATGCAGAGCAGGGTGATAATGAAGTATCTACAGAATCAGCTAAATTTGATGATTCTACGCAGCCAACTACTGCCGAGATATATTTTGATGATGCAGAGCAGGGTCTTTTTGTATTGTTANTGATGATTCTACGCAGCCGACTACGGCTGAGATATATTTTGATGATGCAGAGCAGGGTGATAATGAAGTATCTACAGAATCAGCTAAATTTGATGATTCTACGCAGCCAACTACTGCCGAGATATATTTTGATGATGCAGAGCAGGGTGATAATGAAGTATCTACAGAATCAGCTAAATTTGATGATCCTACGCAGCCAACTACGGCCGAGATATATTTTGATGATGCAGACCAGGGTGGTAATGAAGTATCTACAGAGTCAGGTAAATTTGATGAGAATTCTACTCTAGGTGAGATTCATTTTTTGCTGTTTAATTTCAACGATTTTAATTAACAAAATCGACGATTTAATATTTTATAATAAATTATGAAATCTGAAAAAGGGATTAAAGATTACGTGAGAAAATTTTTTTCCTTATTTAAGAATTTATGGATAAAATTTGTAAGTGCATTGCTGGGTTTTAGAGTTAAAAAGGATGAATTACCAGGGTTAGAGATTTATTTTGCATTAATATGCAACAAAGGCGGACAGAGGGGGGTGGCGGGGGGACATTCGCCACCCCCTGACAGATTCAGGGAGGGGCGTAGCCCCCCCCCATGAGATTTCGAAGCAAAAAATGTTCCCAATTTGATAAATCGTATGTGTCCTGAACAATCTTTTTATTGTTCCTAAATTCCTGTCCTAATCCTTTAATTTTGTTCCTAATTCCTGAACAATCTTTTTATTGTTCCTAAAAGATATAGATATGTACGAATCGTTCTTTATTTGCTTATCTGTCTTAATATACTATAATGTGCGAAAAGTTAAAAATCTAGTTATTTAGTCTTTAGTCATTAATTTTGACTCTTTTTGAGTCTTTTAAGTCACAATTTTTTTTCCCTGTGGCGTGAAATTTTGTTCCTAATTATCAATTTTTTTGTTCCTAAAAAATCTTGCCACCCCCTCACTTAAATCCTGTGTCCGCCCCTGATATGCAAAATTATTGAATCTACTTTGTAGAGGGATCCTATTAGGCGCTCATAATAAAAAATTCCATTTCGATTCTAAATAGTGATACACACAAGACAATAGAGGAACATTTATAATCATCAACAGTTTGATTAATGGCTTTTTCAATATCATTTTGCACTGTTTAATTAAGGAATAATCAGAACTTTGAAATTTATAAATCACAAATATTTTGTTAGAAAATAAGAAGAGAATATATATATATATAAAAAAAGTGGAATATCACTTTTCTTTTCAAAGTTTTGAACAAAATGTTCGAAATGTTTTCTGTCCTTTGATTTTACAAACAAAATGTTTTTCTAACAGTTTTATAGTTTTGCGTGCATATACATACAAACATGAAGTAAAACTAATGTTTTTGATGTAAAATGATTGTGTGGTTTCTAACAGTCCGGAACCCCTGGATTAAAGTCTGAAAAGAATCCGTGAATAGAAAATAAGACATTGGACGTTTAGGATGAGATAGCTTGGGAGTAAAGGGACTGTATCAGTGACCCTCCATGCAAAGATGGTAATTTGTAACGGTACCCATTGATCTCCTAATCTAATACAAATTGTGGAAGATACTATTGTTTTTCTGACTCGAACAGTCTTTACTTCTGTGATTTTCTCCATTGCTTCTTATAAGCAAGATGTGCGCAGAGAAACCGTAAATGAACATTAACGGTTTAGATGAACAAAAACATTGATATCTAATTCATACTTAATCAGACAAAGCTTTTAAATCGGGCATTGTCATCTTTGATTGGAGGGTCACTTGAAATTATGCTGACAGTCCCTTTAAGACAGGGATGATAAGGGGGATAGGATGAGAATAAAAAGAATGAAGGAGTGAGAGCTGGATCTCAATTAAAACCATACCTAGTTCTCAGATTCTAGGGTTGTGCCGAAACCAATAGTTTCTCTGTGGTTAAAAAGGGTGTTTCGATTGAATTTTCGATAGAACCCTAGTTAGAAGAAGAGCATAGAATTAAGTATTTCTGTGAAGGCTGGTCAATAGCCATGAATAAAGGTGCGATGAGGGAGGAAGGGGTAGAGGATAATGCACAGGGGTAGGAACCCTCAATGATCTTCATACAATTATTTTGGAACCCTCATTGATCTTCATACATTTCATCTGGAAACCTAATTGATCTTCAGACATTTAGTTTGGAAACCTCATTAATCTTCATACGTTTAGTTTGGAAACCTCATTGATCTTCATACAATTAGTTTGTAAACCTCATTGATCTTCATACATTTCATCTGGAAACCTAATTAATCTTCAAACATTTAGTTAGGAAACCTCATTGATCTTCATACATTTAGTTTGGAAACCTAATTGAGGGGCCATGATCTCCGAGAAGATTTATTTTTATTTCTATTGATATTCACACATTTAGTAGAAAATCTTATTAAGCTCCAAGAAGATTTTGGAAACTTATTGATCTTACATTTAGTTTGGAACCAAATTAATCTTTAAACGTTTAGTAAAGAAAACCAATTGATCTTCATACATTTATATTGGAAACTTAATTGATCTTTCTACATTTATTTAGAGACGTAATTGATCTTCATTCACTCAGTTTAAAAAACAACTTAATTGATCTTTCTTGATTTATGCTTTAACTTCAATAAATACTTAAATATAAAATTGTTATCAAATTGTCAAATTGTCAGATTATGTGTTTAAATAATTTAGAATTATAGTAATTTGAGTGCTTTGTACAATTTTAGAATAGGAATTTGTTCAACTCTCCTCATCATGCATTCTTTATAGTCATCTAGATAGATAGATAGATAGATAGATAGATAGATAGATAGATAGATAGATAGATAGATAGATAGATAGATAGATAGATAGATAGATAGATAGATAGATAGATAGATAGATAGATAGATATATAGATAGATAGATAGATAGATAGATCGATAGAAAAGTGCCAATAGGAAGATATTTACAACAAGGCTTTGATTACCTCCTGATCATTATAATTTACTCTGTGATATCTCCCGTGTTCTAGCATGCAAGTTTCATATATAAGTATAGTACAGTGTACAGTATACATCAATTTGATGCAAATCCGATCTAGTATCATGCTTAAACTTAACCTACAGCTAACAGGATTTTAAACTTATCGTAAAAATGTCTAAAGTTCAATTCTGAATTCGATCTTGACGTATATTATTATTTTTAGGAACTGAAGAAGTTTTTACTACCTTGGGTGCCCTGGATACTACGGATACTAAGGATGTGTCGGATGTAGAAGTTACCGGGTTGAAATCTCCGGTCACTGAAAATCCGCAAACTCAAACTGAGAAATCCACCAAAAAGTTTGACGTCTTCGAAAACCCGCCAACTACAGTTAGAACTAATTATCCTAATGATGATGAAGATAATAATGCTGAAGAAGACACGGATAATTTAACAACTGGAAATCTAGATATTGATGAGAATACACCCAGGGAAGAAGTTGATCCCAATGATTACAGAGAAAAGGAGGAAGAGGGATCAGGGTTCAGCTCTCCCAGTAGGACGGAGCAGAGAGAGTCAGACGAATCCTTGGTTTTGGCTCAGGAAAGAAACTCTACGGAAACCACAACAATCTTGTCAATCTCAGGAGAAATATCCTCCTTATATCCTTCTTCAACAATCCCAACCAGTAGCTTAGAAACTACATCTAAAACAACTAAGGGTGGTTTAGAGACTACATCTAAATATACTCAGGATGGTTTAGAGAATACATCTAAATATACTGAGGATGGTTTATTGACTACATCTAAATATACTGAGGATGGTTTAGAGAATACATCTAAATATACTGAGGATGGTTTAGAGAATACATCTAAATATACTCAGGATGGTTTAGAGAATACATCTAAATATACTGAGGATGGTTTAGAGAATACATCTAAATATATTGAGGATGGTTTAGAGAATACATCTAAATATACTGAGGATGGTTTAGAGAATATATCTAAATATACTGAGGATGGTTTAGAGAATACATCTAAATATACTGAGGATGGTTTAGAGAATCCATCTAAATATACTGAGGATGGTTTAGAGAATACATCTAAATATACTGAGGATGGTTTAGAGACTACATCTAAATATACTGAGGATGGTTTAGAGACTACATCTAAATATACTGAGGATGGTTTAGAGACTACATCTAAATATACTGAGGATGGTTTAGATTCTACATCTAAATATACTGAGGATGGTTTAGAGACTACATCTAAATATACTGAGGATGGTTTAGGTACTACATCTAAATATACTGAGGATGGTTTAGAGACTACATCTAAATATACTGAGGATGGTTTAGGTACTACATCTAAATATACTGAGTATAGCTTAGCAAATACATTGATACCCTCTGATGATTCTTTTACTGAAGCTTTAAATGAATCTAATCCTTTTAATGGAATATATGAGGATGAAATAGATGGAATAAACACTGAAGATGCTACTACTGTATCAGGAGAATCTGTGGATGATGCTACTGAAACTGGGGGTGTAAAATCTGATGATACTTTTACTGAAACTGGAAGCATTGTATCTGAAGGTGTAATTACTGAAACTGAAATTGTAGTATCTGAAGATACCACTCCTGAAACTGGAAGTGTAGTATTTGAAGATACCACTGCTGAAACTGGAATCATAATATCTGAAAATACTTCCACTAGACATGGAATCGTTGTATCTGAAGCTACCACTACTGAAACTGGAAACGTAGTATCTGAAAATACTACCACTATACCTGGAATAATTGTATCTGAAGCTACCACTTCTGAAACTAGAAACGTAGTATTTGAAGCTACCACGACTGTAACTGGAAATGTAGTATCTGAAGATACCACTCCTGAAACTAGAAATGTAGTATCTGAAAATACTACCACTAAACCTGGAGTTGTTGTATCTGAAGCTACCACTTCTGAAACTAGAAACGTAGTATTTGAAGCTACCACTACTGAAACTGGAAACGGAGTATCTGAAGATACCACTCATGAAACTGGAAATGTAGTAGCTGAAGATACCACTCATGAAACTAGAAACGTAGTATCTGAAGATACCACTACTGAAACTGAAAACGTAATATCTGAAGATACCACTACTGAAAATGGTAGCTTAATATCTGAAGATACCTCTACTGAAACTGGAATCGTTGTATCTGAAGATACCACTACTGAAACTGGAAATGTAGTACCTAAAGATGTAACTACTGAAACTGGAAGCATATCATATGAAGATGTAACTACTGAAACTGGAAGCATCTTATCTGAAGGAACCACTACTAAAACTGGAAGCGAATTATATGAAGATTTAACTACTGAAACTGGAAGGGTAGTATCTGAAAAAACCACTACTGAAACTGGAAGTGTAGTATCTAAAGATGTAACTACTGAAACTGAAAGCGTAGTATCTGAAGATGCTACAGCTGAAATTGGAAGTTTAGAATCTGAAGATACTATGGAAGCTGATGAAGATCTAAAAATTTCCTGGGAATCCACTGAAACTCCTGAAGGCAATTACACTGTTACTGAGCTGAGCTTTGGATCAAAGTATTCAGAGATACCCCTGGGTGAGTAGTAGAGTGGTAGATATTCTAAAATATGAATCTTTGATTTTTTAATCCAGTTGCCAGTAGCTAGAACCTTTATATAATCTAGTTGCCAGTAGCTAGAACCGTTATATAATCTAGTTGCCAGTAGCTAGAACCTTTATATAATCTAGTTGCCAGTAGCTAGAACCTTTATATAATCTAGTTGCCAGTAACTAGAACCTTTATATAATTTAGTTGCTAGTAGCTAGAACCTTTATATAATCTAGTTGTCAGTAGCTAGAACCTTTATATAATCTAGTTGCCAGTAACTAGAACCTTTATATAATCTAGTTACCAGTAACTAGAACCTTTATATACTCTAGTTGCCAGTAACTTGAACCTTTATATAATCTAGTTACCAGTAACTAGAACCTTTATATAATCTAGTTGCCAGTAGCTAGAACGTTTATATAATCTAGTTGCCAGTAACTAGAACCTTTATATAATCTAGTTGCCAGTAACTAGAACCTTTATATAATCTAGTTGCCAGTAACTAGAACGTTTATATAATCTAGTTACCAGTAACTAGAACCTTTATATAATCTAGTTGCCAGTAACTAGAAACTTGTGAAAAAGAAGATGAGGAACTATTGAGCTTATTGAATTGTAATTAAGGGATGGGGGGGGGAGAGGGGAGGGAGGGCTATAAAAAATGTTGCTTGTGCGTTCAAGAAGATCGGGTAATTTAATTTTATCATCTTACTTTATATTTTCTTATCTGACAATGATATCTATCCAATTAAAATTGTGAAACATCTCCATCAAATCAGACCAAAAAATCTAAAAATTGCACCCCCCCCCCTCCTCCTTAGAAAGTATCTATGTATCTATGTGTTTTAACAATGTCCTGTGTATGGATGTTTCATACAATTAAGAATTGTTCCTTTACTTAAAAATTCACATAACACCCCATTTTCGAAATTATTCATTACATCTCACTTCTCAGATCTGTCATAGGGCTAGAATGATATTTTCAGTCATGAAAACCATTGCATTTTTTAGATTTAACCGTGAGCAGCGTTTTTTTCATTCATAACTTTACGATTTTGTATTAATATGTAACCATTAATAAGTCAATATGGCTCAAATCTTTTTTTCCTTAAACATCAAAGATCAAAATCTTAAAGAATTTGAAGAAATTAATCTAATATTGAAGATTATAAGTATGGGATGGATGGGATGGATGGGATGAACGAAATAAATGGAAATAATGATTATATTCTCTAATTTCTTCTAGACGAGTTTGAAACTGAGTTTAGTTCTCCAGCTTCGGATAATGAGGTAATTAGTGCTGGGGTGTAAACTTAAGAGAGTATCAATAAACGAAACTCTGTTTTAATATAGTGTTAAGTTTTACAAATATTTGGTAATTTTTATCTTAGAAAGCGAAATCAGTAATGAGAAACAATTCCAAATAATATTATATATTGAAAAAAAAGATTAAATTTTCCATTAAATTTTTTAATTTCTTAAACCTGGTTTTGTTAATTTGAAGTTTCGTTAAGTTTTAGGATCAGGGTTCATCACTTAACCGAAATCAGATATATCAGAACATGCCTTACTAGACACAATCTTATTATACTACCCCTCCCACCCCTTCATTCCCCCCTGCCCTTACTAGACACAATCTTATTATACTACCCCTTTATATAAAAAATGTTGTTTAAGCCCCCGTGGACACGTTTGACACCCATTTAGATTATCCAAACACCTTTCTTATCCAACTTCTTTCACCGCAGAACATTTCAAAAATATATTTTTTTTGAAAAATAATTTGGTTTTTAAATCTTGGTGACAATTTTCAGAAAAAAACCCTCTAAAATTGTTAAATATTTTTTTGTAAAAAATATTTTTTTCCATATTCCCGACACCTTTTTATAATATGGGGGGGGGGTCTTTTTCAGTTCTTTATACGACAACTCTGGTTTTTTGGTGGATTTTTACCCTGGGCATTCTTGACACTTGGGTGAATTTCTATCTAGATTTCTTTCCGTGGGTGGATAGTTGTAAATAAGCTTGGCGTGGGTTAGGGGTTGGNGGGCTATACACATTCATTTCATGTATTACATAACTCACTAAGTTTGAGAATTTTGTTATGTTTCTATATTATACAACTTTTTATTGTTATTCTTTTATTCTTGTCATTCTAAACATCTTTTCTACAAACCTTAAACTTATTTTTTTGTAGAACCGCGTTTTTCCCATTAATTTGCTTGTTCTGCAGGCTACTGTAGGCGAAGCTGTGTTTTAAAATTAAGAACAATTATTTCATATTTGGATTTTGATACTGCAGAAAACTGTGTAGTGTATCAAACAAAACACACAGATCAAACAACAGACAACTCCACACACAAACTTACCATTGTTCCGTTATAAGGCAGTCTATGCAGAATATATAGGCACTATAGGCAGTCTAGGCCTACACACAGTAATGGGCTTGGTTAATATATGCCTTAACTTAGAAATATACTTTACGAAACTTTTAAATCAACATTTTTTTACAAAATGAAATTTGAAAGACTTAAATAATTTAAAAACTTTTTTTTTATTTCAGCATCCCTTGTTATTCGGTCCACCACTTAATATGCATTTAAGGAACACCAAAACTGGAATTAGGATGTAGAAAGGGAAGAAAGATTAAATTTTTTTTTTTTTAATTGTTGTTTTTAGGATTTTGGTTCGGATACAATAATTTCAAAAACATCAACAGCAATCGATCTTGATGTAACAGCAACAACACCTCCAGATCCAACAGCTGTACAAACCACGACAACAGCCTTAGATCCTGTTTTTAAAGAATTCACATTTTTGAATGAAAGCATATATTACACATACAGTAGCAATATATCTATCAGGTATTATTATTATTATTATTATTATTATTATTATTATTTATTAGGTTGATCCTGGCTATATGCCTGGAGGGTATACGGTGTAACCCTAAGAATGATTTAACTAGATGTCAGATTCTGCACAAACGGTAAATATTTTAGATATTTGAGAGACAGAGGTTGCGTGATTAAGAAATATCTTAAACTCTAAAATCCTTGCATAATTTTGCTAAGATGGACTACAGAAATTTAATAATGATGCAAACTTATTGTTTATTGTGTTTTTATTAATTTTCATTAAACGTAAATAAAAAGATTAGATTAGATGAATATTCACAAGCTGAAGCAAAATCAAGATTTTGCCAAATACTTATTGAAAACTAAAGCCGGAGGCAAGCTCAAAATCTTCAAATCCAGGGCTATAAAAAAGTGCGTTGGTTTGGTACTTTTCAGTTCAAGGGTCAAAATGGGCCTAGTCTCAAGTTTACAAATAATTTGTAATGCTGTGTAAATCGTTGTGGTTCATATGTCTACATATATTTTAATATTGATTTGTCTAATGTCTGTAAAACAAAAGTTTAAAATGTTTAATAATTTTTAAAAATTCCCTTTTAACGGATTAAACAGGGGCCAGAAGCGAGAGTTTGTTAAAATGTGACTATATGCGCGTGTTTCTCTTTAACAATCTCAAACTTTATAAAAGTCTTAAGAATGTTTATTGCATCGTTGAAATCAGACTTTAAGATGGAATCCAATCCATATTTGGGACAAGGGAGAAATTTAAAACCCCAATATTTGCGCATTTAATGTTCTAAACAAGAGAAATTCTCCAAGTTTAGAGTTTACACCCTTGTATCCCCTTTAAATCATTCTAAATCTTATCAGGCTTATCTTACACTTTTTTCCCATTATTTACTTTCGTGCATTGCAGTGCACAGTTTATAAAGTAGATCGCCGTAAACATTTTGGGGTTTAAACCTTTGCTAAATTAGCACGTTTATAATGTATGAAAGAGGAATGAAGGGCGCTTCTCGAAGCCTAATTTTCAAAAGATATCGCAAGATATTTGACTCGTAAATATATTTTAGGTGTAATTATCACGTAGATACTAGTGGTTTAGGGTTTCCTACCCGCGTAGAACTATCTGAATGTACTGTAGAGAACATACTTTGTGGAATAGGACATAGAAGTCAGAACATCAGGTTTGAAATCATTTCTTTTCTGTGAGAAAGTTATTTTGTTTAAATCATATTAGAAGTCCAAATTTTATTAATTTTCTCAATTCTTCTTAATGTCTCTTCAAAAGAGTAGATATGATTTAAAAACAAATTGTGATTCTAATCTGTCATTAAATTTATCTGAATTTGATGTGTTTAGGTGTGATCAAACATTTGCTGAGTGTGCTTATAACTCTACGCAGCTCACCCTTCCCTCACTCCGCCTCCCCCCAGATCAACTCATACAACAACTTCTTACCAAGAACAGGAGAAATATTATTCATTTCCATTTTTCATAATCTTAGAAAAAAAATATTTTTAAAGTTAGTGACTTAAATTTGTAATCAAAAGTTCGAAGCAAAGATTTTTTATAGAATGCCTTTTTTATGTATTAAAAAGGGACCCAAGGTGTTATAACAAGTGACCCTCCATGTTCGATGATTCACAACGGTACACTGTAAATCTTATATTTCCTTATTTTTTATAATTGTGGCTGAAAAAGTGATTTGTGGATTTGTGAGAGTCAATGAAGAGTCAATTCTAATAATTTAACTCTTAACTCTCTTTAAATAAATGACGATGTCTTCCTCACTTTTACTCAGATCGAGGTTGAGATGATACCGTTGTAAATCGGACATGTCACTCTTTGATTGGAAGGTCACTTGAGATTACTTCTGCACTTTACAGTCCCTGTATGATATCTTTTTGTATGGGGTTAATAAAATCTCATTACAATAGGTTTAAATCAACATTATTCACTACATTGTTATATACAATTTGAGTTGTGAATTTATTTACTCAATATTATATCATATTTATAAATTTTGTGAATAATATTAATCCCTAAACAGAGATCTGATTGAAAACATTCTCAACCCTAAACCTAAAGAAGGAGGTTTGGATGGAGCTAAAACCCCAGAAGTTGTCACTGAAAACATAATTGAGGAGACACATGAGAGGGAAGAGATCAAAAACAATGTAGAAACTGAAATTGATCCGACCCAGCTCTTGAACTTGTTTGCAGGAAACCAAAAGAAAAAATTACAAAAATACTTATCTTTTCTTATAAACTAACAAGAATTTTCAGTAATAATAGATAATAATTAAAATATTACAACTAAGAATTTTCGCAAATATTTCTGTTAATGGCAGATTTCCAAATTTCTTTTAATTGAAATTATTTCAAAGTTTTGTTGACCTGCCATAAAACTTCTCTAAATTCATTTGAGTTACTGGAGAAAAAAATTGGATTTAATCGTTCTAGTCCCTCTGCTGTTAATTGGATACTAACAAACATACAGTCATGTTATATTTGTTCTTAATTTTTTTTTATTTTCTTGGTTTGTACAGGAGGAATTGGAAATGAAAGTATTCTGACTAGTATTCAAGATGGTATCTTAAAGGATGGTTGGATAATTGGAACCAACACATCCGACCTATTCAACAACGGAACTATAAATATTGACAATGAGACTCTCCCTATCTTCCAGGATTTTATCCTTGTTCTAGACTCCGACCTGGGGAATCTTAGTAAACCGGGGGAAATCACCCTCGAGAATATACTCAACAGTATGAAGGGGGAGAACCCAGGAGTTAAGATTGTATTTGATCCAGACAGCCTCGTATTCGGGCTCCAGGAAGAGGTTTCGGATACCGAGGCGGAGATCCTAAACTCTATCAAGGATGAGATCAACACTGCTGTGCAGAAGATCGCTGAGAGCTGTGGAGGACAGCTGTGTATTCAAAGTGTAACCAACAACAGCACAACAATCAACGCTGTAAACATTACTCAGCTATTTTCTATTGGAGAATCGTCCAAACCTATTGAAGCCCCGGGACCCATAAAGGATAATGATACCCGGGTGGTTATTATCGAGCCAAAGAATGAGGTTCAGGCCCAACTAAGTTTTTGCCTAAATGCAATACAGTGCATTGACCCAGTACCGTGCATGTTTGCACAGAGTAAATGCCTCCAGGTGTCTGGTATTGAACTGCTGGAAGAGAACAAGAGAAGAAAACTATTCGAGTGTCAGGTTGATTCTCTTCTCTGCTCTCTCCAATCCTTGTCTATATCAGGACAAATGGAATGTGAGAGTATGTTTAAGGATTGTGGAGTAGAGCTTGGAATTGATATAGTTGATGGAACCATTGTCAGGGTTCATGATATACAAGATACTGATCTGCGTCCTGAAACACAAACCGTCCCTGCTGTGCAAACCAAACCATCTACTGGAGAAACTTCTACAGCTTTCAGTTTTGACAAGATTGCATCTGATTTCTCAGATGGAAGTATAACACAGGATAGTTTATTAGAGTTTACTTCAAAAACTGTTAGTTCAGATGCTTCCTCTCCAAGTTTATCAAGAGCAGGAGGAATAACAACTATTTTATCTTCTACTACAGAAGATTCATCTCTTACTCTTTCTACTGCAGTGGATACAACTCCAACTTCTTCTAGTTCAGATGATGCAACTCCTACTCCTTCTAGTTCGGTGGATACAACTCCTACTCCTTCTAGTTCAGTTGATACAACTCCTACTCCTTCTAGTTCAGTGGATACAACTCTTACTCCTTCTAGTTCGGTGGATACAACTCCTACTCCTTCTAGTTCAGGAGATACAACTCCTACTCCTTCTAGTTCAGGAGATACAACTCCTACTCCCTCTAGTTCAGGAGATACAACGCTAACTCCTTCTAGTTCAGTTAATACAACTCCTACTCCTTCTAGTTTGGTGGATACAACTTCTACTCCTACTAGTTCCGTGGATACAAATCCTACTCCTTCTAGTTCAGTTAATACAACTTCTACTCCTTCTAGTTCAGGATATAAAACTTCAACTCCTTCTAGTCCAGTGGATACAACTCCAACTCCTTCTAGTTCATTTGATACAACTCCTACTCCTTCTAGTTCGGGATATACAACTCCAACTTCTTCTAGTGCAGTAGATACAACTCCTATTCCTTCCAGTTCAGGAGATAAAGCTCCTACTCCTTCTAGTTCAGGAGATATACCTCCTAATCCTTCTAGTTCAGTGGATACAACTCCTACTCCTTCCAGTTCAGTGGATTCAACTCCTACTCCTTCCAGTTCAGGAGATACAGATCCTACTCCTTCTAGTTCAGTGGATACAATTCCTACTCCTTCTAGTTCAGTGGATTCAACTCCTAATTCTTCTAGTTCAGGAGATACAACTTTTATTCCTTCTAGTTCTGTGGATTCAACTCCTGCTCCTTCCAGTTCAGTGGATACAACTCCTTCTCCTTCTAGTTCTGTAGATATAGCTTCTACTACTTCCAGTTCTTTGGATTTAACTCCTACTCCTTATAGTTCAGGAGACACAGCTTCTACAACTTCTAGTTCAGTGGATTCAACCCCTAGTCCTTCTAATTCAGTGGATTCAACTCCTTATCCTTCTACTACAGTGGATACAACAATTTCACCTGCTGACCAAGGAGAAACCATCTCTCAATATGATGATACTGAATCAAATACAATCTTTGCAGATGACTTAACAAAAACAGCAAATGATATGGCAGCAAATTCTGCTGATGAATATCTAAATCAAAATGATCAGGAGATTATTAATACTTTGATAGAAAACATAACATTAGCTCTGGATACTCACCTTGTTGACACATTTGATGTTGTTCTTGACAATGAACTGGTTGGGGATGAGGATAGAATTAATCTATCTGAGCCAAATGTTGATGAAATTGTAAATATTGTAAAGGATTCACTGACTCTGGGTCAAACTACAATACCTCTATCCATCAATTCATCATCTGACTTTGAAGTCAACCTGCCTAAACTAGGATTTACAATATCTATCAGAGAGGAGTATTACGATAATATAGAAGATGTAAATGAAACAAACACTGATTCTGAAGAGTTTGGTTTGTCCTACCCTGACTTTGGATTCAATGTGACAGCTGTCAAGGACATAACTCAGTGTATGGTGGAAGGTGTCGTGTTTGATGATTTTGAATTCATCCCTAGTACTGATCAGTGTGAAATATGCCAATGTATTGTTGGTAAGATTGAGTGTTATGTAAAGTCTTGTGATACTCAGATTCCAACTGGAAACTGTATTTCAAGACAGGAGCCAGGGAACTGCTGTCCTAATTATGTATGTCACGAGGACCAAGAGAACCCATTAGATCAGTTGGATCAGGATGAACAAGACGACCTGGAAAATCAGAAGAATAATCTGAAAGAGGGGATTTCAGAGGGTTCAGATTTGTTTATTACAGATGAAGATTCTCAAGATAACATTGAGGATGGGTTTGAAGGTTCTGGAGGGGTTGAAGACCCTGAGATAGGTTTGGCTTCAGCTCCGAGTACAGGTCTAGGCAGACAGGAGGAGTTACCAGTGAATATTGATGACGCAAAGGATATTCTAAACAGTGTTAAGACAACAATCATGGATATATTTGCCAACGCCACCAGCATCTTCAAGGACATCAATCTTTCATCTGAGGTTGACACTACACCAACTAACACTACAGACAGTGAAACAAACAAAAATAACAACGCCTTAGAAGATTTGAATAATGGTAAAAACACTAGCCTTGAAACTGCTGCGACAAATCAAGAATTCAATTTGACAGATGCCACACTTACAATGGAATCAGTAACCTCTTTAAACATTCCTGAAAATACTGTTAAACCCTTTGAAGAAGTTACTCTCCCTTCCTTTGATGTTACTCTGCCTGTAAACCACTCTGATACTGATATGAAGACAGAAAAAGAGGCAGAATCAACAACTGGAATATTTAATGATATTGGGATAGATTTGGCAGAGAATGAAGATGAAAAACTAAACACCACTGAGACAGATTACTCTGATGATATTTTGAATGGATCTAATACCACTGGAGCAACTGGAATTTATGAGAAGGTTAACGAGGTAACCACAGTGCAGACACAAACTGAATTAGCCACAGATGATTTAAAACCTGAAATAAGTGATGTTGACAACCAAATTGAAGTCACTGACAAATCAGACATCAAATTTAGCACAGTCAAAGAAGATGAGTATTTTCTTAAAGTGACTACAACAGAAAAAAGTGATTCATTCATGTCTGAAAACACTGCAACAATAGCCAATAGTGTAGTTATGGAAGAAGCTATTGGAAAAAAGGATGTCAGAGTATTCTTAAATTTTACTTGGAAAGGGGACAATTTCCAAATTGAAGAAGTATTTGATGATGACAAGTTTCAAGGAAACATCACAGATAAACTCATGAAGATCTTGAACCATGGTGTGGGATATGTGATTGTTCCAGATGGGGAGTTCCCTGAAATAGACACCAATAACACAGTTGAGCTGGTACAAACTATTCAGCTTGACTTCCAGGACAATATTGTGATTGATACTATGATACTTGGAACCCAACCAGGCATACTGCACCCGGAAGATTTAAAGTACATTTCAAACATTGAACAGAAGACAAAAGATATTGTTAAAGAGATATTTCAAAGTATGGAAGATGAGATTTTGCAAACAACAGAAAGTTCTTTTGACTCCAATGAAAATGCAGCCAATTTCAGCACAATAGAGGAAACAACTGATATCCCAACAACAACATCTCAAAATGATCTTCAGGCTATTAAAGATGCAAATACAATGTCAACAGATTTGAAATTCTTATTTGTTACAATGAAATCGATTATTGAAAGTGATTCAGCAACAACACTTGATGCTACAAGTACAATAGGATCTTCAGATAGCCCTTTCTTCAACCCAGAAGAAATCTTTGAAGATTTTGCAAGTAACTCTAATCCGAGAACAGCGGATATCATTAGAATAGGACAAAAAGTAGATGCCGACAACAATGCCTACTTTAAAATTCAGATTCACCATGATATATTGACGGCGGATCAGGCCAAGAAAGCTAAGAACATTATCATTGCCATCTTAAAATCATCCTTCGGAGAGAAGGTGGAGATTAATGAATCTGACCTCAGCTTTGAGTTCATAGACAAGGCAGATCTCAAGCAGATTATAAAACTACATGAAAACACAGTTCAAACTTATATCAGTGAACTAGATGATGAGCAGGAAGTAGTTTACAGAGAAATCTTTGATAAGATTGAGGCACTCTTGACAGAGGAAAATGAAGTCCCTTCGAATGAGAATACACCCAAACCATCAATATTAAAATCTGAAACAGTTGCTATAGTTTCAATTCAGTCGCCTTTTGATATATCACCTGAGGATCTGAAAAATCTCAAAGTCATTATCAGGGAAAATACAGGGATCAATTCAGAACTTTTCAACAATCCTCCACCAAAGGTTTTACTTTCTCAGTTGAACACCAAGAATAATTCAATTTTCATAGATACAAAAATAGATAAAAGAGGAAATGTGAACAGTAACTTTTTCCAGAATCAAATCTCTTACAATAGCCTGGAGGATGAGAAAGATGGTGAGGATGAGGTTGGATCTCTGGGAGTTCTTGTGAGTGAGGAAATAAAGAAATTCATCAAGAATAGAATAATTGAAGGCCCACCTTCCTCCGCTACCATGGTCCCAGTTCCTCCAAGGTCCTCATTAAATTCTTCTGAAGAAAACACCGGTGATGTTGCAAAAGCTACTCTTAACAAGGATTTTGCAGGAAATCCTCTCATTAACAGTGTGAATAGTTCTCAGGAGTTAGAAGATATATATAGTACAGACTCAGTCACAGGGAAATATGAACAAACGTCTTTTGAAAAGAAGGAAGAAAATTATATCGCTGATGAAAATGAAGAATCCATGGAAATCTTTACAACTACTGAATCTGTCTCCTATACCATAGGAGGAAGTTTTCTTGATGAAATAATTGAAGATTCTGCAATTCAACTAGTTATGAACACTGAAGATCCCATCAATGTATTATCAGAAGTTCAAATGAAAACTTCTATCCCTGCAGAAGTTAAAGACAGTACCACTGTTGTGGGAATAACAGAAAATGTAAAAGATAACAATGTAACTGGAATAAAAGAAAGTACCACTAGTAACGTAATAGCTGGAATTGATGAAAGTTCTACCACTAACAGTTTAGATGGAATCGATGAAAGTACTTCTGAAATTAGAGTAGCTGGAATTTTTGGAAGTACTACTAACCGCATTTTTCCTGGAATTAATGAAAGTACTACTGATAAAACTCAAAATGGAATTAAAGAAAGTACTGCTGATAACGGTTTAGCTGTGATTTATGAAAGTACTGCTGATAAAACTGAAACTGGAATTGAAGACAGCACTACTGATAAAAGTTTAACTGGAAAAAATTACAGTACTACTGCAAACAGTTTAGCTGGAATTAATAAAAGTACTACCGAAGGTAATGTAGCTGTAATTGAAGAAAGTATTTTAGATAGCATTGTAATTGGAAGTGGAGAAAGTACTACTGATAACAATGCAGCTAGATTTAATGAGAGTATAACTTCAGATATAAACATAGCTGTAATTGAAGAAAGTGGTACAGACAGAACTGTAACTGTAACTGATGAAAGTAGTGTAGCTGAAATTAAAGAAAGTACTGCAGATAGCATTGTAATTGAAAGTGGAGAAAAAAATACTGAGAAAACTGTATCTGTAAGCAAAGAAAATGATACAGATAGCAATGCAACTGGAATTGGAGAAAGTAACACTGATGACAGTGTAGCTGGAATTGTTGAAAGCACTGCCGATAACAGTTTAGTTGGTTTGGTTAAAAGTACTACTGATATCAGTGTAGATAAAATACAACCTAGAACTACTGCTAAGAGTGTAGTTGGAATTAATGAAAGTGCTACTGATACCACCATAACTAAATTGAATGAAATTACTACTGATGACAGTGTAGCTGGAACTGATGAAAGTACTACTAATAATATTGTTGCCAGAGTAAAAGAAAGTGCCACTGATACCAGTATGGCTGAATTGGATGACAGTACTACTGGCGACAGTGTAGTTGAGTTCGCCGGAAGCACCACTGATAATAGTGTAACTGGAAATGATGGAAGTGCTATTGATAACAGTGTAGCTGGAATAGAAGAAAATACCAATAAAAACAGTTTTATTGGAATTGAAGAAATAACTACTGATAACATTGTTACTGGAATTAACGAGAGCACCACTGATACCATTGTCACTGGAATTGAAGAAAAAACTACTGATAACATTGTAACTAAAATTGGAGAAAGTCCTACTGCTTACGGTGTAGCTGGAATTGATAAAAGTACTACTGATAACAGTGTAGTGAAAACTGGCGAAAGTGCTACTGATAAAAGTGTTGCTGGAATAAAAGAAAGTTCTACTATAGCTATTACTGGATTAAATGAAAATGCTGCTGAAAACAGTGTTGCTGGAATTGATGAAGGAAGCACTACTGGTAACAGTGTAACTAGAAATGATAATAGTATTACTGACAACATAGTAACTGGAATTGGAGAAAGTACTACTGATAACAGCATATCTGGAATTTATAAAAGTACAATTGTTAACAGTGTAGCTGGAATTGAAGAAAGTACTAATGATAACAGTGTAGCTGGAATTGAAGAAAGTACAATTGTTAACAGTGTAGCTGGAATTGAAGAAAGTACAATTAAAAACATTGTAGCTGGATTTAAAGAAAGTACTATTGATAACATTCTATCTGGATTTAAAGAAAGTACTACTGCAAATATAGTTAATGAAATGAAAGCTAGTGTTAACATTGGTGAGGAAGTAGAAGAAAGTTCACCTGAAACCATTTTGTCTGGTGCTAAAGAGAGTGCTGGTAATAATAATGTAACTGGAATTGATGAAAGTACCCCTGAAACTTTTGCAGCTGGAATGAAAGAAAATACTATGGATGAAAAAGAAGAAGATATCAGTACTCTAAAAGCTGCAAATACAGATAGTAAGAAAACAGGATCTGATGATGAAATTTCTAAGGTGTATGATGATGATGTATCATCTGATTACAATGATAACATTAAAGAAGACACCACAGAATCCCAAGATACAACAAACCCACCTGCCAACCCTGAGTTTATTGATGAAAATAATGAAGTGTCTGTTACACAAAAAACAACAACTTCCAAGGTGTTTAACTTACAGACAACCATCAAGCCCCCAAGTGATTCAAAAAAGATCCAAGAGAAGATCATTGAAACACTCGCAAAGCTGTTTGTAAAAACTCTTGATTTGTCTATCAAGATAAAAAGTGCCATAGATGAAAATTCAAAGAATAATATCCTAGAAATTGTATCTCGAAAGGATGAGAACGAAACTCCCCCTGAAAGTTTTGTTGTGCCAAATCTGATCAAAATTACTCCTGAGGATGCAGTGGAAATCAGAAATGATCCGGTAGAGACTGAAGGGGAAATTAAACCCATTATCATCCTCATCGAGGATAATAACAACCTGATCATCAATGATACTAATGGAAATGTTCTTGAACTTGACTTCTCTGATCTACCAACTGATCCTGTGGATCGTGAAAACATAATTAGATCAAAGATAAGAGATCTTCTTCAAGATGTGTTCATCACGCCCGAAGTGCCTGAAACCTTCCCCAAAACATCATTATCTGATGAGATTATTAAGAATATAACTCAGATCGTTCTCCTAAAAATGGAAGAGAGTCTGAGCTCTCTACCAAACTTGAAAAATGTAGTTTTGAATCAAGACAAAATGGCCGACAATGGAAGTAATGACAACTTCAGTATTCAGTTGGAGAATTTCTCTAAACAAGGTAAACTTAAATTGTCACTTACACTGAGCAGTTTTGCAGATAAACATATAAACAATTTTTTACTTGTACAGTTGTACAGTTTTACCAAATGTGTTGTGCAGTTTTTACTAATTAATTATACGGTTGCACAGTTTTACCAAAGATTTAAAAAATAAAAAATACGGCTTTCAGTGAGAATCACAGAACTTTGAAATAGGAAGACGACATAAAAACAATAATAATAAGTGTATTTGATGTTGTTACAAAGCAAATAGTTTTTAAAGTAACTTATTAAATAATTATGAAATTGGAATGGGTCTGTTTACACTACATAATTGCTGTTTCTCATGTTCATTTGTCAATTTAGTCAAAACTAAAAGTCGGCTTTATATTCAGAGTTTTCTGGTTCTCATCGTATGTATATACATTGTACAGTTACACCATTGGAAAGTAAAATGCAGCGCACAATGAAGAATTGAAGAAACTTCATTATTTTGTTTATCTCGACATTAAACTCTATTGTTCTCAAGTTTAAGATCTTATCCAACCTAATCTAATCTTATCCTCACATTTCATATTTTATCAACTTTCTCTTTATCAACATTTTTTAGACTTTCATGGACAATTTTTAACTGCAAGTTTGTAACAAAATGTGCTCGAATTGGCACAATAAGATGTTTGTTAAAGGGTAGAAGGGGGGGAGGATATGTAGAAGATGTAAACCTAATAAAAGTATGTGTTCTCGTTTTTTCGTTTGTTTCTTGTATAGCATAATTAAATATAATATATAAATGTAGATTTAGAAATTTCAACAGTTATTGAATTCAGACTTATTTCAACTAAATTTAAATGGTTTTTCGTTAAATTTTAAAATAATTTAGATTCTGGTGAAACATCAACAGTTTTAACAACTTCTTCAGGAGAATCTTCAGTTTCCATAACAACACCAACAACAGCAACTTTTCCTTCATCATCTACATCTACCATTTCACCGCAGGAGTTTGAGAAGGAATCCACAAGGATCATCAACGAGGTTCAGAACACTATTTCTGGAATCATCAAGGACGTCGTCGCTTCTAAGCAGAACGAGAGCAAGGAGCAGAATCTTGATGATGTTATCCGTCTAATCAACGAAGCCATTCCTGAGGATGTGGCATTGAAAGCCCTAAAGGTTGATGAGAAGGAGTTGAAGAATAAGATTGTTGAAACTGTGGGGGGAATTCTGACTAATCAGGAGATTGAAAGAGTAGTTCGTCTGAGGAATAGGACCCAGGAACTAGATGAGACGATCAACCTAGTGGATATGCCACTTCTCAATGATAGGGTTACAACTGTATCTTCTCTACCCTCATCTCCTGCTCCAACTCCAGCTAGAACTACAGCTAAGATCCTCTATGAGATAGATTTAACCAACATAGATGGAATTGAAAAGACCGAATATGACTCTAGCATTCTGGACCAATCAGAGGTTACAACCACAGTTTTCAACAAGGAGAGAAAGGAATATGTTGAAATACCAAACATCACAGAGAAATTAAGTAAGGAAGTTCATCATTAACAGACATCTTTAAAAAGTAATGATAAATTATATTGGATAAAAAACTGGATCAAAGTTAAACATAAAGTTTTAAAAATGTTGTTCGTAAAATTTTGAATAACTGTATTTTCTTTTTTAAGGATTTACATGAAATAAATCCTAATTTTTATTTCAGATTGAAAAACTGTAAATCTTTTGATTCCAAGCATTCTAAAAAATAATAAAATATTTTATTAAAAAGAATTATTTTTAGATATTTTTGCAACAATACCGACTGATCTCAGTAAGGAATCTTCAGCAGAACTTGAAAATTTGGTTGATTCTATTACATCAACATCAACATCAACACCAACATCAATATCTTCGACAATATCTTCAACATTAACACCAACTATAACGTCAACTTCATCTTCAGAATCAACCATAAGTTCAACATCAACACTAGCAACATCAACAACACCAACAGCACCAACAACATCATCAATAATAGATTTTGTAGACAGAAATGATAAGTTAACAATGGAAGATGATAGGTTAGCCGTTGAAGATGAAAGGCTAGTCATGGAAGATGAAAAACTAGCCATTGAAGATGAGAGATTAGCCATTAAAGATGAAAAGCTAGCCGGGGAAGATGAGAGATTAGCCTTGGAAGATGAGAGATTAGCCATTGAAGATGAAAAGCTAGCCGTGGAAGATGCAAAGCTAGCCGTGGAAGATGCAAAGCTAGCCGTGGAAGATGCAAAGCTGGCCGTGGAAGAGGATAAATTAGCCGTTGAAGATGAAAAGCTAGCCGTTAAAGATGAAAAGCTAGCCGCAGAAGATGAAAGGCTAGCTGAGGAAGATGAAAAACTATATGAGAAAGATGGACAGTTAGCAAAGGAAGATGAAGGGTTAACCGTGGAAGAAGTGAAATTAGCCGATGAGGACATAAACTTGGATATAGAGGCTGAAGTGAGCGTGGTCACTGCTGAGGTTGAGGCTGATTATGAAGATGAATCTGAGAATGAAATCGATGATGGTCCTCCATTGATATTCCTGGATGCTTCACAAGATAAATCAGATGATGTTCAGAATATAATACAGGTAGATCACATATCAAATAATATTTTTTGAACATCTTAATTTTGTCTTAAAAAGTGATCAATTCTGCCAATTTTCATCGTTTTCTTTGATCACAAACCTGCTCAGATACAGTTTTAAAGGGTACCGATGGGAATCGCGTGTGAAACTGTTCAGATAGAAGATCACTTAAAATTGCAGGGACAGTTCTTGAAACAGATAGGCCCATAAAACGATAGAACAGGAAGACGACAATCGTATTTTTGATGTTGTTTTAAAGTAAATATATTACCACCAATCAATTATATATGTGAAATATTGTTCAATTGCGCATTTGCTATGTTATAAGTATATTGGTTTATCTAAATCAAAACTTTTTTCTCACCAGTCGTCTTTCTTTCCCACAGTTTTATGGGTTCCGTTGTTTTAGATGTTAAGAATATACTTTGTTAGGAAATGATTAAAATAAAAAAGGAATTCAACATTTTTGTAAATTGATTTGATTATATTTGTTTTGTGTAGGATGGAGGGTTGTTTGCAGATACATCTAACTCTGGTGTAGTAAAAGCTACGGTTATAGAAGATACTTCTTATGCCAGGTATTATAGAGGAAGGCAATCTGAATTCAAATACACCTATAATCTGTTATTTTATCAAATTTATTTTAATAAATTTGAAATATTTATTATCAAACGTTTTGCGTGATGCGTTATGCATATAAACGTTGTTACGTTAACAGTACATAAAAACATAACCTTTAACCTTGATGTCATTCATAAATCTGTTCTTTGATCTATACAAAATACACTATGCTTTTTTCTCCATAGTTTAAAAACAGTTTGCACATTATATAATATACATTTGATATATTAATTTTTAACAAATATTAATATGTTTTACATTCATTTTTCAAATATTTAAGTTCTAGATCTGTAGCTCAAATTAAGACAGGTTTCGTTGAAACAATTTATTTCTATTTAGATCTATTCGCCCTCCATCTGTTGGTATTGCAGCAATAGTATCAATAGTTATAGGTGAGTTTAAAATAGTTAATATTTTAAACTTTTTTATATTTTTTTGACATCATAGAAATTTAACTAGTTATTTCAATTGATTTGTTAAAAACTAATCTGAAAATTGAAACTTTTGCTTATTTTTGATTTTTTAATTATAAAAAAAGAGCTTTTCGTTAATGATATTTGTTAGCTATAGCTGGCCAAACGGCTGGGTCATGTAGGCTGACATTTTTTTAGGAATCCCTGGGGGTAACATAGGTTGAAAATATATTTTTTTAAACTTTGAACTTTTTTCTCCAGTTTTAAAAATTACAGGGGAAACGCCGGGCTCTTGAGCTAGTTTGGCTTATTTTTATATTTTAGTGTTTGATGATCTACAAAAAATATATTTTTCAAATATTTTAGGAACATTGGCTCTACTCTGCTTCTCATTAATGGTTTTCCTCACAATGGCCAGAAGACGAAGGTAAGATTTAGTTCGCAAAAATATGTGCTTGACAAAAAATCCATTTTTTAGAGGCGAATTCTTGATCGTCGGAAAAGTAATTTTGAAGTTATTAACAAATAATAAATAATTTTCTAATTGATTAAATACAAAAAATTAAATAAAAGAATAAATAAATGTCTAAGTGCATGAATAAATAAAAAGATGAATAACTGAATAATTAAATAAATAAATGAATAGGTGATTGAGTAGGTGAATGACTAAGTAAATGAATAAATTACTAAATAAATAAATATTTAAATGAATAAATAAATGAACAATTTAATTAATAAATAAATGAATTATTAAATGAAAAAATAAATAAATAATTAAACTAATAATTAGATTAATAGGTGAAGGAATATTGAATAGGTGGTATAAAAAGGTGAATAATTAGGCGAATGAATGACAAAATGACTGAAAAGATGAATGACAATAGAATGACTAAATGAATGACTAAGTGTATGAAATAAATAAATATTCAGGATGCTAGAAGAGACGACATCTCAGACAGCTTACACATCAACCTCAAGATATACTCCAGAGGGAACACATTCATTCGTCAGGGGTGTAGTTGGATAATTTAAAACAGGCCTCACCCCCCCCCCCCAAAAAAATCTCTCTTCAAATTGAATTTTCTTATTTGTTCACCATTGAGACATCAAAAATGCTGTTTTTACAATTTACTCAAAATTTGTTTTTTAATTCTAAATTATGGCGTCAAATTCCTACAGGAAATCCATGGAATCTCTCAGCAAAGTTAATTTATCCAACTTCACAAATTCAGTGATTTGAAGCAGCCCTACGCTGCGGAGGAATATTCTCCCAATGTTTCAGCTTCAGAAATTCACAGGAAACGGTCAAAATGTAGTTGATTTTTCATAATATGCTTTAATTGTTATGATCAGAGAGTTACTTATAAAAACATTTATTCCTGTTTCGAGGATTTTTGGTAATGGAGACGACATTTTCATATTTTCCAGGAATGTTTGAAAACAAGTTGTAAGCTAAATATTATTTTAAAAAACAAAATCAAAAATAGTATGAAATATTAAATATATACAAATGTGGCGAAAGATAATCGATGACTATAGGTTGTAATATCTGAATGATTTGTTTGAAATTAAATTTATTTTTTTACGGTCTAAGTCGTATGTTGCAATTTTCTCAATTTGTATGGACGCTAAGTTATTCGGTATGAGACGTCTTTAACAATTTTCTCCTTATAGAAGCAACAGATAGAAGTAAGATTAGTAGCGATCAAAAGCTCTTTTTTATCGCATTAAGCCTATCCCCCCTTTAATTTTTTACGAACACTCCCTTTAATTTGAAATGAGTTGACCGTTTTTAATACAGGGATGATGTTGTTATCCCAGTTGACGGTCATCAGACTATAATTGGTGAGTTTTTTTGTTTGACGCGTTTTTAATAATTTTTTATGTTTTTTTTGTTGTACAGGATCGTTCGAGGATTTCCTTGAAGTTCCAGCCAGTTCAAGGCCCAGTATTCTCAGCTCTCTTCCTCCACCCCCAAATTCGGAAAACATTGTCAGGAAATAATCCAAATAAAACCATTTTCAAACGTTTAATTAACTTAAAGGATATTTTGTTTCAAAATTTTTTTTTTCGTTTGATAAAAAAAAAACAATAGTACGTTAACTTTATTTCTTGGAGAGAAAAAATAATATTTTTTGCTTTTAAAATCTTTAAGATCCTATATAAAGAGATGGGACTGGGATTTTCTTTATAAGAATAGGCGAATTACCCATTAGGGCCATTACTGGTTTAACCACCTCTATTTTCCGAAATTCCCAAATGTTTACGCTTAAATCTAACTTTTGGACATTAGATTTGACATGAGAAAACTAAGACTACTAATCATTAAATTATTCTATAAGAAAACTAAGCCTACTAATCATTAAATTATTCTATGATGATTTGATTGATTTTTATTTGAATTGATTGATCAGACCAACCCACGAGATGAAGGAATCAGAGTACAGCTTTACTCCACGAGGATACAACGCGCTGGTCTAGCCTGTACAGTACACTGTACACTGTACAGTATACACTGGTCCAGTGAGAGTCAGCTGTTTTATATACCAAACCGAAACCAGAATATATTGTTGATTAGACCAAAAAATGAGCGCCATTGTTGTAAAATGGCGAATTAAAATATAACAAAGATAACTAGGCATTTAAAAATAAAGTATTTGTTGTTATAGTTAGGTTTATAAACCTAAACCAATGCCATAAAGATGAAAGTTAAAGATTGCAAACTGCATGCAGAGTGCAAATGCAATAAGATGCAATCCCAAAAAAATCAAAAAAGGAAATTTTTACTTTCTCATATTTAAAACATTTAGAATTTAAATAAAACAATTTTAGATACCCTTTTAAAGTACAACCTTAATGGAAGTGTTTGCGAAAAATTAGAGTGGATATTGGCTGAACCCGAATTGAATTCGGGTTTGATCGCTACTAATTTTACTTTTATAATCTATATATGTTGCGTATATAGGGAGAAAATGGTTAAAACACCTTTTAAACAAAAGACTGGAACCATTTTCTCCTTATATACGCAAGAGATTGAAGTAAAATTACTAGTGATCATACCCGAATTCAATTCGGGATTATCTTATACCACCTTTCATTTTTCGCGAACACTCCCTTTATAAATTGTACTGTGAAATGTACTGCCAATATTGTTACAACCAGTATTAGAGTGTATATATATAATATTGACATGGTCTAGTCAGAGATTTTTGATTTTTCCTTGAATTAGAAAACTTTATGAAATGGTGCTCTTCCTTAATATAGTAAACCTGTAACATGAACCAGTGTGTGATCAAATATATAATTATGTGTTATTATTTCATGTTTTTTTATTTTTATAAAAAGTTGTACAAAATTATTTTAATCGAGTTGCAGTATTCCCTTTATTATTATTTCCCGCTTTCTCATGCCAGACCAGCGCCATTTCCTTTCCCTTTATTCTTGTTCCCTGGTCTTTGCAAAAAAACTCAAATTTTTATTATCTTTAATTTTACCACGCTGTAACATTCAGAATTTACTACACCACTCCCCTCTATGTGCAAATAATTAGTTTTATATATTAAAACAACATTTAGATAAAACGATTTTTTCGCAAGTTGAATGTGCAACCGGAAACCAGTTTTTATGAAATCTAAGTCGAATAATTCACTAATGAAAGCGAAAAAAAAGCTTTTTCAAAATACATCGAGAAGGGTATCTAAAGAGCTGCCTTGAAACAGGGGATTCTGAAATCTTGAAAATCCATTGATAAGGCAACAAAAGTCCAAGAAAAGTTCTTTGTGCCGTGTATCAAACAATAAAAGCAATATTATAGTATTCACCGGGAGCATCTTTTTTAGACCATTTTTGAAATATTCTGAAGACTTTCTTTACTATAATGACTTTTTGTGGATTTTTGAAATGATACGATTGTGGTCATGCTTTTTATACCTAAAAGCCTGAAAATTGTCAAAAACTCTTGTTTTAGAAAGCACAGAACATGTTAGGGAGAGGGGGGGGGTTCCAATTCTTAAAAAAAGTGAAAATCGATCCCTTATAGTGTATACATATTTGATATTTATTATTTTAAATTTTAAATTCTCTTGGATAAATTATCTAAGTGCACCATCAAACTGCAAAGATATGAGAATACAAAATTAGTGCGTGTGGTGATTGTTAATTTTCAGATCCTTTGTCAACAAATCATTATTAAATTTCTTTAAAATTTAGCATTTTCAAATATATTTTAAAAGTTTAGCTGCCCCTTGCTTCACTTTGACATCATATATCAAGATATATGTATTATGTAATATACATGTAATAAACACCTACTCCATAGCAATTCCTCGAACAAGTATCTATCCAGGTACAATTCAGTTTCACTTAGCTATCAATGTTTGAACCCGGATACAATCAATATCCCTTGCTTCACTTTGACATCATATATCAAGATATATGTATTATGTAATATACATGTAATAAACACCTACTCCATAGCAATTCCTCGAACAAGTATCTATCCAGGTACAATTCAGTTTCACTTAGCTATCAATGTTTGAACCCGGATACAATCAATATCCCTTGCTTCACTTTGACATCATATATCAAGATATATGTATTATGTAATATACATGTAATAAACACCTACTCCATAGCAATTCCTCGAACAAGTATCTATCCAGGTACAATTCAGTTTCACTTAGCTATCAATGTTTGAACCCGGATACAATCAATATCCAATATCCAATAATAATATCAATATCCAATCGGAACCTCTGAACTATCAATGCCACTACCACTGGGCGCGATTTAGTTTGCTATGTCAACCATCGACAATAGCGATCTATTGATCAATGTCTCAAACATGACACAATCCACACATATGTTTCAATGAAAACCAAATTACTCTACACTGTAACCAAAGCAGAGTTTCTGTATCAACTGATGTATTTGAGGTTTATATGTTACAAGTTAATGTTAATATAGACATAATTACAATTCCTACGTCGTTATCTACAGGGTGTCCCAATAAACATGGGAATTCAGTGACGAATTCAATATCGTCTTGGCAAATAATTCTTTGATTTAGTATAGTGATACCTACTGAGAAAGCTGTAATCTGTAAGAGTTTCGTCTGCTATGTTCACATTTTGTTTGTTTATGTTTTGACTTCATATGGTTGTACTTAGTAAAACAAGAAAATTGCAGTATACAAACTGAGTAAACTTGTCCGTATTCACTGTTCATCTTGCGGAGACATTATAGACACATCTTTGAATTATTTTACCCTTTTCATAAAATAAACTCTAGCAGACATAATAATATTATAGCTTTTGAAATTAGGTATTACAATGCTAAATCATAACAAAGACGATATCGAATTCTTCACTGAATTCCCATGTTTTTGGGACACCCTGTATATCACATGATTAAGGCAATCCTGTTACGTATTACAGCACAATTGAAATAAGCGCAATTAAGATGTGCGTCATTATATATCACATGATTTAAGCTAATCATGCTACGTATTCATTTGAAACGCAGTTCCAATAAATAATGGGTTTTACGTAAAAATTTACAAACTTAGATTGTTAATAATTTACAACATTTAAAATTCGGTGATGGTAATAGACCACACCTCTGTAGAGTAAAAGAGTAGATGTTAGTTCCACATTTATTGAAAATATATTTCGGTCTGGGTTGACCCTCGTCAAATTGGGCTGTCAAATGGACAAAAGGGAAAAGAACTCAGATCATGAAAGGGAAAAAAGGTAATTTGCAAATATTATCATTAATATTATTTTTATTATTATTATTATTATTATTATTATTATTATTATTATTATTATTGTTATTATTATTATTATTATTATTATTATTATTATTATTATTATTATTATTATTATTATTATTANAATGAGAGGATATAAGGCCAAACGGCTGGACCGAATTGGCTGATTTTTTAGAAAACTCAGGGGTACCCTAAGGGTAACGTAAGCTTATAAAATAAAAATAAAAAAATTCTTCAAAAAAAACATTTCCTAAAAATTTAATTTTTTTAACGAGACATGAGATCATAGAAGGGAACGAGTTAAAGAAATTACATGAAGCTGATGAAGTCTAGAGGGAACTTATCCAATGGGTCCTAGAAGGTAAAGCAAAACAGATGCAAGATTTAAGAGGCAAGGTGCAGGAAGTGATTAAAGTTATACAAATATTCAATCCTATGCTGTTTGTGATGCAAAACGGTGTTTCTTGTTACATCAAACACATGGATCCAACGAAACCATATAATACTCTTCGTATATGGGTTCCAGAAAAGAATTTGTCATGAAGGGACAATGTCTAGACATAGAGGTGTAAACAGTACTTTAGACAAGCTTCAAAGAACTTTATTTGTTTTATCAGCTTGAGACAAAATTAGGAGATTTGTAGAACGTTGTGATATCTGTCTAACCAAAGAGAGAAGTATCAAATCCAAGATGGGACCTCATGTACCGCGTACAGTGGGAAACATAGGTAAGAAAGTCTTCATTGATCTGGTGATCCTGTCAGAAACAATGAGAAATTGAACTGTTATTTGTTGACAGTCCAAGATGGAGTCACAAGATTCGCCAGTGCTGATCTGATTTGCAATAAAGAGGCAGGTACAGTATCAAGAGTTCTAATTCGTGAACAAAAAGGAATTGTAACCGTGTGGATTGTGTCCTGTTTGAAATTCATAGCGGACGGGTTGTAAATGGACTGATACAGTTCTGGACGAAGTTTTTGTAGTATGGTATTTACTACAGATATACATTATTTGTATTATTATCATTTTATTATCATTATCATCATACATACTTTCAGTTTTTAAATATTTAATATACCAATTCATCAATTTATAAATCTATCAGTTCATTAATTCATCAATTCGTTCATAACCAATTCATCAATCCATTAATCTATCAATTCATCAATTCATCCATAACTAATTAACAATTAATTAATCTATCAATTAAACGATTCATTAATCTATCAATTCATCAATTCATCCATATTAATTTCATCAAATTATTAATCTATTCATCAATTCATCCAAAACCAATTCAACAATTCATTAATCTATCAATTCATCAACTCACCCATAACCCATTCATCAATTCATTAATCTATCAATTCATCAATTCACCTATATCCAATTCATTAATACATTAATCTATTAATTCATAGCTATTCATTCATAACCAATTCACCGATTCATTTTTCTACCAATTCATCTATTCATTCAAAGCCGATTTATCAAATCATTAATCTATCAATTCATCAATTCATTTATAGCCAATTAATCAATTCATTAATCTATCAATTCATGAATTCATCCATAACCAATTAATCAATTCATTAATCAATCAATTCACCAATTCATCAATTCATCAATTCATCAATTCATCAATTCATCTATTCATCGATTCATCGATTCATCCTCAATTCATAACTTCACTAATCTATCAATTCATCAATAAATTAACCAATCCATTCATTAGTTCATAACCAAGTTACAATCTATCAAACTACCTTTTTATATTATAAGTTTATTTTTCCAGGGCCGGGAGTGGAGGGGGTGGGGAATGAAATAAACCTTATAAGACACTTTTCCATCGGGAATCCCCCCCCCCTATGCACTAACATATTTTTCGACCTCTAAAATCCTTTACAATCATAGTTTTTACGTTTGGTTCATAACAAATTCCAAAGATCCAAAGGGTAGAGAAGCCATAGACGGTGGGGGGTTCCTGGTGCTAAACATTAGACAATGACATGCACGGGGGGGGGAGGTCAGAAGTGCTCTAGGAAGTGTGAAAGAATGAGTTTGCTGTCAAAGAACTAATGAAATTTAGGAGATAAATGAAATTTTGAATATTTCTTGAATAATAATGCAGGGAGTTCAGCCCTGGCCCTCAACTCTAAATGGATAGAAAATACAGTAAACTAACAATTAAATTGGAGGGAGGGGGGAGGGGAGAGAAGGGCATATTTGTTGAACTATACTTATATAAAAAATGAAATCTTGTAAAACTTTTATAATCGCAATTGCTCCTTATTGTAATTTTAGACACAGAAATTAAGACCGAATTAAAAGAATTTGAGCTGCGTTGCTTAAGTTTAAGATTAAGGAAGGATTTTAAAACTGTATCCAATTATACTAATCTTGATCTTAGTTTAGAATTCAGAATATATCTAAAACAAAATATAGAGGGTGGCCCAGAGGCGGATTAAAGAGGGGCTTGGGCCCACGGCCCCACCCCCTGAACTCCTGGAGGCCCCCCCCAAGGAAATTCATGATATGAAATAAAAGCATCAAGGGATGAAAAATACAACGAAAACAGAATTAAATAAATGAATTAATTAATTAAATAAATTACAAATTAGAATTTATTTTCTCATCTTATTATCTAATTATTACAGAAGTATATCTCTCTCAAAAATGCTCAAATTATTCAAAACAAAAAATCATGGTTAAAATGATTATTTATTCTATTTTCAGTAATTTTTCTTTCTTATCATTTTAAACACCAGAGACACCTTTTTATTGTTTAATAAAAATATGTTCTTAATTAAGCGTCTGATGCAATGGTTATTATTGTGCTTGGGGAGAAAAAGAATCCTTAAGTTAAATATTTCATAAAAATTCAAAAAAACCTAATGAAAACAATTTATCATACATTACCTTTGATAAAATAGTTAAAGCTCGAAGTTTAATAATGAGGTCTGTTGTATGTATGAGCCAACATTAGAGCCGAGGGGTGAAATATCAGTTTTCAATAAACAGTTTTTCGTACATACGTGCTTATCATGTTTAACCAACATTTAAAAAAAATTATTTTAAAGGCCCGGCTTTACTTATGGATTTAGGCGTAGAGATAAAAATGATAACTCAGAGTAATTCTTCATATTTTAGATTTTTCGCGAACACTACTTTTAATTTAAATTCCTCCAGGATATGGTTGAAGAGGCCTGTAATTTTCTCTGGGAAAATTTCTTCGTCGACGAACCAATCAGCAAATCTTTGGAAATCCATTTAAAGGGACAGTCGACGTAATTTTACAATAGTATTCTTTAAGCCTATTTCTGAGTAAAACTGAGGAATATATATACTGTCGTCTTTCTGTCTGGAGAATATTTTTTTCTTCTAATTTCAATCATTTTTTTCTGCAGGAATTGAATGAAATCGCGCGTAATTGAAGGGCTCGCAATTGCGCGCAAATAAAATCCACTAGCGTTGAAAACCCTTTAAAAATCTAAAAAAAAGTTTGATTTAGACGTTCCTACAGCACAAATAGGGTTTCCAGCGAACGAAACGTTTCTTTAAAAAAATGCGAAAATTTGCGGTCGCATTTCGCAAAAATAATGAAGCGAAAACGAAGCTAAATTTTGAGAAAATGCAAAATTTCGAGAAAATTTTGTAAAAACCATGAGTTTTATACCTGCAACAATTTGAAGTGCAAGAACTTGTGGAACTCCTTTTCCTTGGAAAATTAAGAAATGTAAAATTCTGAATGTATTAAATCTCGAACATTCTTAGTTCTGGACGATTTTGACAAATAATAACATTCCTGGAACTTTGCTTTCATTTGTCTTCCTGTCGATCAAAAGGGTCGCTTTTTCCAGACGAGAACTTAAATGACTTAACATATCAATGACAATATCCTAAGCTTTTTCTAAAAAGGAACAAACTTACCCACAAAGGATGAGTCTTCAAAGACGACTGTACAGATTTTTTTCAATCTTAATCTTTTTTTTAAAATCCCAGCAGCGGCAAACTTGTTATCTTTGTCAGATCATTTGATATGCAGTTAACATTATCATTTGAATACTTTCAGTTTAGTGTGAAATCCAACCTTCAGTCAATCATGCTTTAGTTCTTACTAAATCTCTTACAATTACACATTTAATTCATTGTTAATCCATTCGCAGCTATGTTGTTCAACTGAAACTCAATATTTTCAACCTCCCTAACGAAGATTAATCCGTTTGTAAACTTAACCCTTAAAGGGAGAGACCTGCTAGTCATGGTAATTGAGCTGGGAATACAGTATTGTAGAGAAATTTTTCGGGATTCATTCGAGGACCTACGAGACGTGTTTACTGTGCATTATTGTTCATTAAGAGAATCTAGTTTAAAAATTGTTCAATACTGAAAAATCCTTTTAAGTAAACATGGATAGATTTGTGATTCCGTCTTAGATATTTCGTAATGGTACCTCAGTAAATCATTGCCCGATGAAATACTATTTACAGAAAATGTTTATCCAACAAAAATAAATAATTTTAAAAATATTGCCAGCCAGCAAGAGGGAAACATTGACTGAATGTCATATTTAATTGGAACTCATTTTTAAAATGAAAATTGCATTAATAAATATACAAAATCTTTTAAATTACAAGTCTCTTAATGTAAAATTAAACAATATGAAAGAAAATGTATATTTCCAATGATAAGAATGTGGTATAAATATTTATGTTAAATTGAGTAAATAAAATACAAAATACTATTGAGAAAATTGATTAAATGCTGCTAATAAATTTTAAACATGTACAATGTGTACACAGTACAAGTCGGTTAAGGATTTCAGAGTCAAGTATTTTTATTTCATTTTCACAATTTTTCTTGACTCTGTGACACACTAATAAAGACATTAGACAACACTGAAAACCTAAACTATGCAATGAAAAAGTTTCATTTAAGAAGTTCAATTCTAAAATAAAGAATTGTCTTAAAGGATACTTTTTGCCTGTTTTACATAAGAATTTCAATTATTAAATACATGAAGACGAAAGATACTTGAGCTAGTATCATGTTCATAAACAGAACTACTACTAGTGTCTAGTGATACAGTATCACAACTACAAATAGTGTCTACTGTTTCTTGAACTGTGTATCTAGTATCTAGTATCTACTATTTCTACTAATGAGTACGAGGCGAGACAAGTGTCGAGTAAAGCATACGTTGGATCTTAAAGCTACAAACTCGTTCAAGGAGTTTCAAAGAGTGTCAATCAGCTTAGAGCTCCTTACAGGACATAAGAAGCTCTTAGCTCCTTATTAATGCTATAAGTAGCTTCCGGCTTCTTACAGATTTCAGTAGCTTTTAGCTACTTAATGGTCTCAGTAGCTATTAGCTCCTTACTGATTTCAGTAGCTTTTAGCTACGAACAGGTTCAACAAGCTCCTAGTTCCTTACAAGTGTAAGTAGCTCTGAACGGATTTTAATGGCTCCTAGGTCCAAGTAGCTCCTTATCCTGCTCTAGTATCTCTGGCTCCTTGATCAAGTCCATGAACTAGTCCCTGGATTCCATTCTTGAGCTTGCAGATGTTCCTGCCAACCTTACCAGACTTCTCAACAAAACCATCACCCTGGAGAACAAATATAAAACAAAATGAATTATTGCCAGGAGTCAACTTATTTAGTGGGAAGATAAGACAAATTAAGGGGTAAACTGCATCAATTTTTAAAGATAAACTACCAATTTTGAGGAAAAAATAAACTTGGCTACTGTGGAAATCTACCAAATTTTAAAGATATTCTACAAATAAAAGGGTACAATTTACAAATTTATAAAATATACTACCAATTTTGATGAAAAATGCACCAGTTTTGGCGGAAAATAACCAATTAGTAAGAAATTCTACCAATTTTTAGGCGGAAATCTGCAAATTTGAACTTTATGAATGTAGATTTAGACCTTATCTACGTATAAGGAAGAAATCCCAACATGGATTAACGAAAAACTATGTTTAAGAAAAAAATTGAATTGAAAACACCCACCTGATCTTCTAGAGCAGCGGAAAGCGTAAGTCTAAGTGTAGGAGCTAGCTCAGTTTGCGTAAAACCAGTTACTTGCGTCATCTCCTCCGACCAGGGCTGACCCAAGACACAGCCGGCAGCAGCAAGACAAGCTGACGCAAGCGTACTTGGTTTCTCGCACCCATACCAGTCCTAAATATAAAGTATGAAATCTCTAAATCTTGATCTCACATTTTTACGAGTAAACTTTGTTAAATAAGAAAAGTAAAAAATCAATCAATCACTTGTCAATTTTAAAAACATTCTTATTGCAGTAAATAAACAAGTCGACTTAAACTGTAGTTGTAATTTCAAGTGATCATTTATTTTAAGAGGAACCAATTCACAAAGTAACTTTTTTAAAACCTTCATTTGATCAAAATTGTGGAAGATGTTGTTTTCCTAGAAAAACGATATTTTCCCAACTGTTAATTAGATAAAGGGAACCGTTGAGAATCAGACATGTATCTTATAATTGGGTGTGACTGGGTATACCTGGAGTAGGCATAAGTCTAGGATAGCTCGAGCCATCCTAAACAAAGGTTTTAAACCTTTCCCACATAGGTCAGAGTAGAAGTGAAGGAATACAGAAGCTGTAGTCTGTCTAATCTTCCAGTTCAAAGCCTAAACGAAAAAAATAAAATCACTAAATTCAAAGATGTTCCTTTCCTTAAGCATATATTTTCGTCCCCCCCCCCCCTCCCTTTAAAGACAGAAAAATACCCCAGAAATATGTTTCCCTTGGAATTCCCCATATTTGACATTTTTACCCCAAATCCTTTGACTTTGAGGATAGGAGGAAGAGTGGAGAGGTGAGAGTGGGGGGGGGAGGGGTCCTACTACTTTGAGGATAGGAGGAAGAGTGGAGAGGTGAGAGTGGGGGGGGGAGGGGTCCTACTACTTTGAGGATAGGAGAAAGAGTGGAGAGGTGAGAGGGGTCCTACTACTTTGAGGATAGGAGAAAGAGTGGAGAGGTGAGAGGGGGGGAGAGGGGTCCATCTACTTTGAGGATAGGAGAAAGAGTGGAGAGGTGAGAGGGGACCTACTACTTTGAGGATAGGAGAAAGAGTGGAGAGGAGAGAGTGGGGGGGGGGAGAGTCCTTCTTTGAGGATAGGAGGAAGAGCAGAGACGGGAAAGGGGGAGGTGGAAAGGGGGATAGGGAAAGAGAAGGGGAAAGAGGGGAAAAAAATTTCCAACCTGCAAGAGCTCCATTTCGATTCTAGCCAAATCTTCCTTGGCATAGATATCCCCTGCTAGTGGTAGGAAAAGGGCGGGGCCGGGGGGCGTGTCCTCTTCCATCTTAGCAGCTAGCTGAAGAGAGGCGAGGGCAAGGAGTTGAACCTCCTCAGGGTCCCAGTCTACGGTGTAGAGAGCAAGGTCCATGGTGGCAACAGCAGCATGGAGACAGGTGTCAGCCAAACCCAGATATTGTTGAACCTACACAATCATAATATTAAAAAAGTTAAAACTGAAACTAGAATTAAAGTATATTTTAGTCATATAACCATAGACGTTTAAAATGTTTTAAGTATTAGAAAACTTTCCTTAAAAACAACCCTAGATCATAATGAAAATTTAACTGATTTATGCACAGAAGGCTGTAAATTTTTATTAAAAACCATCCGCCCTGATCTTCTCATGAAGGTAAGCAATGTATTATATAAATCAGTGTATTGGGGGAAAAACGAGTTTAAGGAGAAACGAATGAACTATTGGTCAAAAGTATCAAAAAAGGGAAAAACTTGTCAATTGATATTTAATTTGTAATGTTTATCGACGTTTTGTATCATAAAATTAGTTACTATAATAATTGACCTGAATGAGAGGATATAAAGTATTATTGACCTGAATGAGAGGATATAAAGTATTATTGACCTGAATCAGCCAGTCCACAACACCAGATCTGGATTGTTTACTTAAACAGGTGTTGTTCAGCCAGCCAGCCGGTAGCCAACTGCATAATTAAATTAATAAAAATAAATATCAAGTTTATAGCTTTATTAAAAGCTATCATGATTTTTTTCCCCTACAAAAACAAAGTGAAAATTATCACTTTGTTTTTGAAAATGAATTGAAATCTATCATTACTTGTCATTATCATAAGTTATTCTAATTTTTAGAAAGAAATTGTTCTCTTGGTTTTCTATATAACGACTCGTGGATATTTTAATACCTTTCATCTTGTTCTGGCATCCGCTTGGTACAATCTAAAAGTAGTTTCGTCTCCATTTTGTAGAAAAGTTATAAAAATGAAAATAACTGAAAGTGTTTTAGTCCCATGAAAGGGGTGGCGACTCGATGGCGCTGGTCGCTTAATTCACTCACTCATTCATTCATCCATTCATACTTTAGTTCCATTATATGCATAACGGAGAGAAGGGTTTAGATACAGTAGGAATTTTCTTGTTGGTTCAACTAGACTAAAAAATCACTCCTCAGGTTCCATCAATTAACCTGAAACATATTTTGACAAATGTAAATCTAAACAAAATAATATGTTTACTGGAGAAAGAACATGCTATTCGAAATCAAGAATAAATAGGAAAAATTGTATGGCGAAATAAAAATAGCAAAACGTTAATTTCTTCAACATTATGATAAAAAGGAAACCTAATTAAAAAATTTCCAATTTAAAACATTTAATTTTCAAGTTAAATAAAAGGGGGTGTATAAATCTCTCCCCGGCCCCGGTCCGGGGAAGAAAAGCAAAGTGGGAAAGGGAAGGAAAAAGGGAAGACACAACTCTAATAAAAATAAATAAAAGAGTGATCAGTAATTTTTCCCAAAAAATACACCTTTAAAAACAATTCGTGCTACGCGCATAAATACATTCTAAAATATTAAGAAGTACAACTGTAGACAAACCCCAATTAAATAATGGATGATTTTCATGTACATTCATACCCCTTGACTGACAAGTAATCAAACCCAAATTCTTTTGGGTATTATCTATTATTAACAAAAATTTGGCAGGGGGGGGGGGGGAAATAAAAAAATGGAATTATATACACCTATTAGAAACTATTAGAAAAGGAATCTGAAAAAGAGGTCACTAATCACTAATATAGAATTTTTCAAGTCACCATATCAAATTTTCCCTGAAAAAAATGCATGCATTGGTACTTTCATGAAAAACTATACCCCTATGTTATAAAAAACTTACAAAAACTGTTCAATTAGGTGGGTCCTCCCAACAATAATTAGGTAGGCCCAACCAGGCAGGTCGGGCGGGGACCGCAGGGGCCATAGCAGATTTATATTCAAGAAACGCCAGTTTTAATCTAAAATAAACAAACAAATATTAGATTTGCAGAACCGTTCTACTATCTCAGAAGAGCATATGACAATTCTATGAAATAGTTCAAGACAGTGCTTTGGATCCGCAAGATTTTGGCTTCCTGGATCCGAATCCGCAAAAATATGCGGATCCACGGATCCGGATCCAAGGAGTAAAATATCAACCAAAAAACTGAAAAAAAAACTTTTATAGTCCTAACCCCCAAATCTGAACTTTTGAGAAAAAGAGAGATTATAAAAATTTTCTCATTTCTGAATGACTCATAAAGTTTTAGGATAAAACCAAGCGAAAAAAAATAAAACAAAAAATTTAAAATTATTTTATGTTAAAAAAATCCAATAAATCTTAAAGAAATGACCTGGATCCGGATCCGGATCTTTTTTTCCATGTGCGGATCAAGGATCCGGATCCTTATCAAAATTAAATGGATCCCAAGCACTGGTTTAAGGGCTTATAGAAATATAAAAATTATTTGGCAAGCATTTTTTAAATCTGTATGCAAAGACTTTTTAATTACTATAGCCAAAAAAACTCCTAATATTGCATAAACCCTTTTTCATTGAGATAATATGCACTCCTTATTTGAAAATTGGTTAGATTGATTTTCAACAATATTTTGCTCAAGATTAGGTCACTTAAAATAAGACAAAAAAGAATAATTAGGTTTACATTTGAGCTCAGTAAAAAGTTATATAAATGAGGAAATCAAATGATTTAAAAGTAATCGCGATGAATTCACACGTCCCAACAACTGTTTAGCAGTTAACTTAAATTACTTTTTTGTTCACTAGATGGAGTTGCACTCTGTATAAGCTTGATTGTACGGTGTACAGTTGCAGTACAGTACGTGCTGGGTCCCACGGTACACGAGGGGCAACTAGTAACTGCAAAAAATGGTTAAGAAACAAATTCTTAGCTGGCTGATGACACCGGATCGAATTAGTTTTTTGTAAATGAAAATAAATGTGTTAAAACTAAAAATTGAGTTCTTAGTTATTATTATAATTGATCAGGGGCGTACACAGGAGCGTTCAGGGGGCCTACTTCTTATTCTTTCGTTGGGGCCTGAAAACCCCCTGGAAACCCTAATTCACCTAAAAGCCCCACCCATCACCCTGTGTCCCCTGTGTACGTCTCTGGTTGAAGTGTCAACGTTAATTGATAGAAACTGAAAACATGATTAAACTGCAATTCCAGAAATGTCAATGGAAAGTTTTCAGAAATTATGGCAGAAGTACGACTAACTTTATCCACTAAATATATATTTAAAATATTAATATGTACAGTCTTTTTTTCGTACGATCTTCAAAATAAAGATACAAATTATTGAAGCACTTTAAAAACTTGCCACAATATAAAAATATTAATCATCAGCTTACGATCGATTTTATGTAGATTTAAAATAATATTTAACAGATGTAAAACTTAATACAATATGAAATAGTTACCTATTTTGTATAATGTAGTATAAAACCACGTAGATTCTGGGATCTACGTGATATTTGTTATGATCTGAATTGAACCCTAAAGGCCTAAAGATTTACGGTTGCTCGATTAGGCCAAGCTCTCACACAAAGCACTAAGCAGCAGGANGGGGGAGTCCTCTGAAAGGTGGATATTTGTAGACACTTTTTTTCTAATTCTTTAAGTTTCCGAAGTTTAGGAAAAATTTTCAGAACAAAATTTCAAAAAAAAAATTAAAAGTTATAATCTTCAAATTGTCCCCTTTTTTTGGACCAATAAGAATGATGAAGGAGGCCTAGTTAGAGGGTAAAGAGCCCCGAAATCGTTAATTTTAATCAATATTTGGGAAATCCTAGCCTCCTCCGTATTTAGACTTTTTAACCTTGGCCTAATAATAATTTGGAGTTCGTACCGGATCAAAAAAAATTAATTTGTTGAAAATTAAGAATTATTTATTAAGTCAATGCGGTAATGTTGATCCGCTCTACTCCCATCCGCTATACTGCCCAACCGACCATACTGCAACATCTGACCTACATAGCTGTAGGTCAGATGGGCATATCTTCTTGCCCATCCGACCTATTCAGCAGCTTTTGTCATATCCCAGCTAACATTAAATCTTCGCCAGAGTTGGTTTTCCGCCGTCGTAAATGCGATGGCGGAGGGTACACTGTACCGCAATAGTATATAT